ATCAGCACGATACCGGAGCAGAAGCTAGAGATTCATGCGCACCTGGTTGCAGCTTATTAAGGACTCCAGGGCATTTATTTTTCGATGCAGGGGTTCAAGCAGTTCTTCCTGTGATCCGGTGGTCATAATGATTGCCCATTGTCAATATTGGCCGGTGGATGGAAGAAGAATTTATGAAATAACTTACAGAATTAGAAACTACGAGGCTCTGAATAGACTGAGTTGGTGTGTCCTGTGGATCCACATCAGATTAGAAGAAAGCTAACCGGGCAAAAGCTAAGTATGGGTGCGCACCTGGTCGCGGTTGCTTGAAGACTCCAAAGCGTTGATCTTTTGATGCAGCGGTTCTAGAAGCGCTTCCTGTGATCAGTGGTAACCAGATTCCTCATGAGTGATGTTGACCAAATTTAAGACAGTAAGTAACATACCACATTATAAACTGTGAGACTCTGGCTAGAGTCCGCTTGTCTTGCCTGTGGAATCGCATGAATGAGAAGGCAAGCTACGCAACAGTTGAGTATAGACTCCTGGGGCATGCGCACCTGGTTGCTGCTTATTAAGGACTCCAGAGCATTTATTTTTTGATGCAGGGGTTCAAGTAGTTCTTCCTGCGATCCGGTATTAATCATGATTGCCCATTGTCAATATTCGCCGGTGGATGGAAGAAGTTATGAAATGACTTACGGAATTAGGAATTACGAGGCTCTGAATGGACTGATTGGGTGTTACAAGTCGAGCGGCATTAGGTCAGCACGAGACCGGAGCAGAATTTAAGTATGGATGCGCACCTGGTGGCGGTTGCTTGAAGACTCCAAAGCGTCGATCTTTTGATGAAGCGGTTCCAGAAGCGCTTCCTGTAACACCAGTTGCTTAAAAAAACAGATGTTTCAATCTCACAAGACGATAGGAAGATCTCTTGCTTGGGACCTACTTTGGAAACCGCTCCATCTTGACTGTCTGAATGTTCATTTTCTGAGGAGTGAGCGTCGAGACATTCAGCAATTTGCTTCTTCATGTTTTCCAACTTTTCGATGACTTCTGAAATCTCAATCCTTGAATTGGCCTTCGCCTCTTCCCAGCATTTTGACCAGGATTTCAAATCATTATTTTGTTGCTGGAAAAGGGCATTTAGATCCAACGTTCTTCTATCAGATGTACTAATATTTGCTTCAAGAACCTGTTGGATTCTCGGAATGTGATCGAATGTATGGGACAACCACTGGTTAGTACTATGAAGTCCCTCCTTCAATTAATATGGTGCCACTGACGTCTAATTTTTTGAAGGCCTTTTGAAAAGATGCCATGCATGCCTGCATACCAAAAAACAGTATAATTAGTAGAATACGGGACCGTAGAATACTTGATGCATCTCTAGAAAGAACGAGGCTTACTTCGTTATTTGACATGATTGCTTTGCGCAGGGTCTCATCGCACGCTTTCATTTCTGATAATTCCTTGTTCAGTGCCTCTTGGTTGACAGCCTTCATTTGATGAGCTTCCAGTTGGGCAAGCGTACTACTAAATTTAGTCATCTCTACTTCTTGTTTATCATGCCAGATAGATTCAAACTTGGCAAATCCTTCATTCATAGTCCGGACTTGTAAGTCTGTTCGAGTATCAAGGCTACGGAATTGACCTTCAAGCTTTTCGCCCCCCTGATTAAATAAAGCACCATATCCTTAGTAAATGATCAATCCAAAATACTACATGGCAGGAAACTGACGGAATGAAATCCATCAATCCTTTTGGTTTCGGTATCGAGTCGTGAATTCAAGGTAGCTATGCTTTCCTGTAAGCTGTTAAGTTGAGATGCTGAAGGAAAGTTTCCTCTAGGTATTACTCGGCACGATTCTGCTATTTGTGAGCCCTGGGAGAAGTAGCATGATGAGCATCGAAGTTAATAGTCTGCTCATGTCTATTCAATCGTACCTGAGTATCATCTGCCATGCCCTAATGTTCTCGTAGGAATATCCAAGAGTTGAGTATGGAAATAGCAATAGTTCGTCAGCGTTTGGAACGAAGAAGGCATATGATTTCACTAACTTCGACATTCTTGATATACTCCCGGAGCTGCAAAAATGTCAAGTCGTTTTTTTTCTGTTGGCAAACAATTGGTAATATTCAGGATGCGTCCGAAACATCATTCAGGACAAAGAAATACTAACTTCAAAGTCACTGAAGTCACTTCTGAGCCTCGAATAGTTTTCCTCTTGAATCTTGTGAACAGCAGACATGAGCTTCTGGATGATACAATGACGTTGTCAATACAGGATGCGATGAAGTGTAACGCTGAGTTATCTCACACTGAGCTCTTCCAACACTTGAGCAGGCTGCTTTCCAGCGGAAGTAGGGGTTGTGAATATGGGTGTGGACGTCATGTTGTGCGCAAGAAACGATGATAAGGGGATAGATAGCAGCTGAAGTAATAAATCGTGGTGCTAGATTGTCCTCGCCTGAAGCTTGATTTTGAGGTACATTTATAGATCGGTTGGATAATGGCCTTTGTGGAAGTCGGCGAAGTAAAACTTGATGCACTTGTAACAGCTGAACATGTACAGTTGAGCTTTGATTAGTATCAGATCATTAGTAGGCCCCATTGAACAGATACGCAATAGTGGCTCAACGATCAAAGGGTAGAAGAAATTCAGAAGGAAATGAGGATGTTGATAAATTTTGAGCTCTGAGCAAAGACATGCCTTTCAAGAAAATGAGGCATCCTTAGGCTTACGGATGTCGATGCGGATGAAACACAGAAGGGAATATCAGACACTGATTGAGTGATATATATATAGAGTTGTACCTCGTTACTCTGACCTCCTAAATCTCAGTGACCAACATCTGCCACAACTACATCTTGTTTACTCTCGAAAAAAATCACACCAAGGCCGACGCGATGGCACTCTCTTATCTTCAAACGTTTGGCGGACTCTTTGACCACATCCTCCCCCTTTACGTAGTTCGAGCTTTGATTGATCTCTACCGACCGCTGGTTCTTCTCAAGCAGAATGCTCCAAGATGTATCGAAGCAATTAGGCTTTATTCATCACTTGCCTGGCATGACCAGATACCCGAGGCAACATCACTCTTCGCCTCACAGTTCTGCTCCGTCACGATCGAAGGGGTTTTGATACCTCTTGGTTTACAACCGAAGAATGGGTTCTGTGGGAGGCTGACCGAAGGTATCTCTTGGGCCATCTGCATTATCACCGGTGGATGCCTGACAAGGTATATCTGGCGGTCAGCGGCGTTCGAAAAGATGAAAAAGGAGACCATGGAATTTTGGGATGCACTGATTTATCATAGTCGGTCTTTCTCCTTGAGTAGAAAACTTGTTCAAAAGCTGACTTTTTGATTTTGGCAGATCCAAGCGTACCTCGTGCTTCCGGAACTGGGACTCGATAACCAAACATAGCTGACCAGGGTAGTAAGCTTGCGAGATTAGTGTGAGCCAGTCGGCCTATGTGTATCAAGTCTTGTAGTCAATATGTTGATTTTTTTTGTGATATCTTTGGTCAACTTCAGCCAGATCATTGTTACCAAGGACGGAGTACATGTGAAATAAACATATTGACCTCAGCTGATGCTTGTGCCAAAATAACGAAACTGTATAACAGGAATTTGAAAGACGTCCTTCACCTCGAAGCAATGAAACAATGTATTAGAAATGTAAACGCAAACTTAGCGGTAAAAGTAGCCACAAGAAAATATGGTTGTGATGTTTGATCAGTGATAGAGTGAGGCGAGGGGATCAATGAGATGAATTCGGCAAGCACCGGAAGTCTTAAACTCAAGTCTGAGAAAAAAACTGCAACATCCTACGTTTCGATGATCCAACGGAAAATTGAACCTATTTTCCGCGAGTGAATGAGACAAAGTGATAAGAGAACAGTAGAGGTACGAAGGCACTAACCAATACAAGTGGCTTGTGAATTCTTCCAGGAAGTCACGAACGGTCCGAAAGAAGGATCTGAGTATGGAGTCGAATTGAAAAACATTAGTGATGGATCGAGACAAACTACTCAAACACCACTCACCACAGCTAGTGGTTGTTGAGGATAATTGCTGAATGGTAGTTGAGCAAGGGAGAACATACATTTGACGACCGGTTATGAGGTGGGGTTTACTTATATAGTAGTGTCAGATTGAGGCTAAAGAACGCTGACAGGTGAAAGTGATTCAAAGTAGCTGAGAAAGTAGCGTGAGAGGTCGTCGGAACAGCGAAGAAGAGTGAGAAAACTTTTGGGTTGAAAGTCGTTTTGATAGAGATACTTTTCACGTGATGGCAAAAAGGTCTCGCGATAACTCAGGTTTCGAAAGTGGTTGCGGTTGTCGACAACCGTGACGTCGCGGACGGTTCGGTGCGAATTTCGCGGGTCTGTCACATGTTGATGACGAATGTCAACGCTGCCTATGTCTTGTAATAATATTACACACAAGTAAAACACCTGTGAGATAAAGAATTACTAAAGAATTACGACACAAGGAATAAACCATTCTTTACTCGTGAATTCTGAGATAATCTAAGCAGCAATGGTGTGGGAGCTGCAGTCTTGAACCTTGTGCAAGCCTGCGGTTGTCGGCAACCGTAACCCTTGTTTTGGATTCACGGAGTGCTTTCTTTTTGCTCGAAGCAGATTAGCGCACTTGTAATAATTTTTCAACTAGTATGGAATTTATTCCGCTGATGCGAGGCTTAGTAGGACTGACAAGGCTTGCATTGAATCTACTAGTCTCACCAGTGAGGTCTACACTGGATATGAAAAAATGATTAATACAACCCGTGGATTTCACGAAAGACCCTATTCAGATGGGTGAAGAAACTCTCGGGGTTATGATAGTCTGACAAATACATTCCAAGGTGGCTACATCACGGAGTCGTGGGTACATATTCAGCTATCACTCTTTCGGCCATCGAACCCTGGAGTTGAATGTGCTGTACGCTTTCGGGGATCCTCGGGTGTCTCTATCAAGCAACTCAAATGTTGGTTGAGCTGCGCATTTCATTTTCGTCGGAGTCTATTTTTACAAACAAAGCCCAAGGCGTTGACTACGTGACGATTTAAAAAATGTGCAGAAAGATTAGAGTTCTTACTGATTGTTTGCAAACAGCCAGTCTGCGAAACCCCAATACGGGGCTTGACGTCATTTATGAACCGTTCGTCAGCGGCGGAAGAGGTTGGTGGATCAATAGCTTCCGTTAAGCGAACGCCGTGCAGCTCGGATAAAGTAGGGGCCAGGACTGTCTCGCCGCGGACGGCTGCTTCTTCTGCCAACCGGAGGCAACGTTGTATAAATGTATTGTCGTACTCTAAGCTTATGATCGCCTCATCGAGGTCATTGGACATATCGCTCGCGAAAGGAACGGGATACGTGGCATGGCTGTAGCCTTCCTCATGACGTTTCAAGTCAAAGACACGATTGAATTGAGCAGCAGTTTCCGGTGTTTGAATCATGATTCCAAGCCGCCATTCCGCGAGTTCTCGCATGGACATGTTTTCAAACTTAGGCTTCATGCTAGGTTCCATTTGATCGACTAAGAGATTGGGTTTATTATCGACCATTGTTCTTAGATTGTTTCGGAGTAACTACATCAGTTGAGAGCTAGCGATTACCTTGGAACAAAAAAGCAGGCTCACAATTGGTTTCGTGGTATCTGCACTCCACCGTGGTAGCCAGTTCCATCCGGGGTCATAATAATCACGTCACTTAAAGTATTCACATGTTTCTGCATAATTTCTAGCACTCCGTCGATGTCGGTCCTGGAATCCAATGTCACGCCCTGAGATCGATGGGGAGCCTGTTGGATGCTGGATGACCGGGGAAACGGAAAAAGAGTCAGTGGGATGTGTGAATCGTACTTCAAGAGTATCAAAAAGAGAGATTGGAATTTTGATGCGTCAAATTGATCTCACGAGGAAGGCCGGAGTCTACAAAACCCGCGCATGAACACTGTTCTATTGGGCCTAAACACTATAAGATCCTGGCTGTCGTAGTGCTCGACTGTTGCTGGCTCCATGGATATTGAGTAGTCTTTAACGGTGGATGAGGATAGCGAAATTGGGTGCCTGGATTCAAGTGGAGAACCAAGTTAAACAAGTTTGAAGATGAGGGAAGCACAACAGACAGTAATGCCACTTTGTCATTTGACTTACCCAGGAAAGTAACGCAAATCTTCATGAAAGGACACGTACTTGGAAGGATTGAGAATAAAAAAACCCCATTGTGGGATGTACGGTCGGAAAAGGGACCGCAGGGGTAATAAGACAGACATCAATGTGTTTATTCACTAGAGCTGACAGTGTAAAAAAACGATAAAATCCAAAAAAAACTTTTGGAACATTGGGAAAAGCGTATATTATCAGCACAAGTGATCCAGCATGATTCAAGTGGAATTGTTCAAAAGAGAATGTGAACATCCGTTCTTTGGAATCTGACCTTACCACCTGAATATGAGGACATGAGCGGGTTCTCTTCATGTTGCACTTCAATGGTACATTCGCGAAGTTATCATCCCAAACCGCACTCTTTCCAGTGATAACAAAAAGTAGATAGCCACATGTAAGATCACCAAGAGACGATGAACTACTTCCTTGCACAGATTTCGGGGCGCAATTATCTCGAAAAAGGTCTTCAAGTGCATGCATAACAAATGCTGTGAATGATGATGGGATGAGGATGAAAATAGAGGGATGGGAGGAATAAAGGGCAAAGCTTTGTACAACAGATCACACGAGACACTGTTGACATAAAACATGGCGCATTTGGATGATAGAATGGTGGACTCATGGATTTGGAATTGGGGTGTGGATACATGGACGCATTGAGCGTGAGCATTCGATTGATTCAGCTTCGTCGAAGACTTTTAAACTTACATTTCAACATACACTGAGCCGGGATTGATAGTGAGACAACATGGAACACAACCAAGCAAACAAACACAGCGACACCCATACACCCATACACTTCAACACAGGTTGTCTATGTTGAGAAAAAGTAAGATAAGGGCTCAGTTGTTGACACCATGCCCTCCTTCCTCCGATTGCAAGACATGCTGAATCATTTCATCAAAAGTCTTGTGCATATCTTGAAGTGCACCTCTTATCTCGCAAGCCTTACCCATATCCAAGGACACTTTCCCAGCAGCTGGAGTGGCGGATTGCTTGACATTCAGGGTTTTATCATTGGCCAATGAAGATATCTTCTGTTTAATGTACTAAAACAACCGAACATTAGTCTTGCCCTAAGCTCATTGAACACAAAACACTCACCTGACAAATTTCTTCCATCTGCTTTGCGGACAACTCCGGGGGTGCATGTTCGTGTGCGATTCTACCTTCGAGTATTTGAAGCTGTTCCTGAATCTGGAGCCCGGGAAAAGTAGAAAATTAGTCATAATTCTGAGAGCCACAGACCATATCAGGATCCAACGCTCTCACCTCCTTGACCTGACGACCAAGATCCAGCCTGTTGCTCAAATCACCCTTGAGAGTCGCGATCTAGATTACATCGGTTTGAGGGGTTTGGAGACGTCAATTCCCTTGTCATAGCAAAACACACAATAAAGTAGAAACACACTTGTTCATTCAGAGAGGTGATGTTAGGGATGATCTCCTTACGTAGCTCCCGTTGAATTTGTTTGGTAGCTAATTTGGACGATTTCTCCTCATCGTCGACAAGTTTCTCTTCGAGAACAGTTCTAGCGACTTCGAGCTGGTGAGGCAATCCCAAATCGTCAACAGATGCATATATTCTCGGTCCTCATCAACTAACCTCTTCTGCTTGCTCAGCACATTCCTTGACGCTGTCAGCAAGATCCTCGACCTTTTTTTGAAGGCGATCTAGTCGAGCTTGAAAGTTCGAAGTGGGCGAGGATAAGCGGGGTCGGTTCCCTACGTGCTGATGACCATCATTGTCAGGTTGATAGCTGGTACCGGTGGATGGCCTTTTTCGAGATACTAAGACCTCTTTTGGAGTTGAAGGTTCCGCCTTTACAACAGGGGAATTCATGTGAGACTCTTGGATTGTGGAGGTAGATTTACTTGATCTTGTCTTCATTGTCGGCTGAAATTCTGGAGTTCTGGAGCAAGAGAGTGAAGTATTCAACCAATAAGGAGAGATCTATCAGTTGAAGCTGGTAATAGGAACATCGCAGGGTTGTTTGTCCTCACCGCGATTCTTCCTTTTGTTAGCATGATCGCCTTTCAGACCCACCGGGAGAATTGATGAGAAGACTGCTTGGGACATCCCCACTGGCAATACAAACGGCCACGAGCAACCGCGGGCACCACAAACAAGGTCTTGACCTGAGGTTGTACGGACAAACAGGATAAGAACGTCCATCATCGAAATGTCCAATATTACGTGTTTCTTTGTCCTCCACGTCGGCGTGGAAGATACGCTCATGAAGGGTTTTTGAGATGTGGGGGTTCCATCTGCCATGCTTAACCCCACTCCTCACTATTACCGAAGGCCTTAGTCTCGAGTGAAGTACTAGAAATGGCCGTCATAATTGAGGAAGGTTTCTTGTTTTACAAAAAGTGTAGGCTTGCATTATTGCATATCACACTATCGACATAATTACAGACGTATGAAACTAGCCTATCAACACAGCGGTCATTCAGTCGGTAAAAGGAATAGTGTTGTCTTTTGATCTTTGCGCCATTTAGATAGTCATCTTCTTTCTTATTTCTTTGGCCTTGTGGTGTACCCAATCTAAAGGTGGAAGGTAGAGGAAGGATTCGGTTGTCGACAACCTCAAGTCACATACGGCCAGACGGGGCCGGGTTTCAGTGTTCATCATGAATGATTAGAAAGAAAGAGAATCGATTTTAGAAATCCACCACCATATATGCGACTCTTGATTCATGTAGAACCCTTTTTTCAACATGTAAAGAACCGCGCTTGATCCGCTTGTGCGGCATTGAATCCTCATATCTTTGTGATATCATGTTGTTGACTCTGACTTGTTCCGCTTGTCCCGCATTGGATCTTCGTGATATCATGTTGTTAACTCCGACTTGATCCGCTTGTCCCGCTGCGGAACATAAGATACAATACAATCGATAAGAACAATACCATCTTAATGCGAGGCCAAATTTGTATCGCGAGGATTGTATTGCGATAAAGTCATCTCTCATTCATTTTACGGGCCAATATTTCAATGATGAAAGGAATATCAAAGATATTCTGAATTAACTTTGATGACGTTTCATGATTTCGTGTTTTCCTTGCGGGAAAACGCATACGGAGCGAGCGTACAAATAAAGCGGCAGAACAGTCATAAAAAGACTGCCCCGTCCGACGTTCATCATTGTCCAACACAATATTCCACTTGTTCGCAGGTTTCATATTCAATTGCCTTATCTATTGGATAAAAGACGCTTCTTATAACTTATCTTCAAGTCTTGCAAACTTCTTATAACTTATCTTCTCGCCCAATCTTGCAAATCACCATGCCTCGTCCTGTTCTATGCCCGACTCCAGAGCAAATAGCAGGTTGTCAAGGATTCATTGATCGTCTGTTCATGTTACACCAAATGTGGTTGTGTATAATCAAGAATATTCTTCGGCAAATCGATACATATGGAGATTTTGATCCTACCGAAATGATCACCCTCATTGGCTTGGGCAAGGCTATCAAGAAAGAGCAAAAAGAGTGGGACCAAATGATTATAATGGCGGAGCTTGACAATTTGATCGACTTGATCAATGAGTCGTAATCATGGTAAGCGAATGTTGTCTCAAATTAATCGCCGCTTTATTTATGCTGACATTTATCCTGTTATGAAAGACCGTTAGGGAATGACATCCGATTTGGAATCGTATCCAAATCAGAATCTAATGTAGATTAAACTAAAGCAGACCTATTTGAAAAATAGAAATTCATATTTTTCTTTTTCGTTTCTTTCTCCTCTTACGCGCTGTAACTTTTGTTTCTGGCTTTCGGCCTTGGCTTGCTGATTATATGATAATTGGTATTGTTTCAGTTTCTTGCCTCTTGCTCGAGGCACGAAATGCAAGACTTGTCCATGTAAAGAGTAACGATATGATTCCTTAACTTCATTTCTCATCAATTTCTCAATCCAATCCTCTAACCATTTTATAAATCTAAACAATAAATCTAAACAAATAACTAACCAAAAATTTTAACCTGCCTCCCGCCCTTCAGAAATTAATTGTATATAAAAACGGGGGCTCTTCCCTGAGACATACGAGGGTTCTTGCCACAGGAAGAACTCTCCACTAACCGTCTCAGGAGAGCCTCCTCCAATAACAGGTCTCCCGAAAGGATAGTTCAACAATGAACAATCCGAAGAAAGGGAGACCTAACTCCCGCTATACACCTTCCCTCACCTAGATATCTCTAGGCAAGGGAAGGAAGATACTTTATGAAATAATACATACATGATGTTATAAAATAGGAATGGACAATGTACTGTCCATTTGACAAATATCAAATCTTATGTATTGCAAGTGTTTGGAGGGTCTCAATTTTATTTGCTCAATCATTGTTGTGGATGGGATAGTTTGTCTATAACTTGAATTATTTCTTTGATATCTCAACGTTCCTGAAGTGACTGCGTTATTATGGTATTCATTTCACTGTGTTTATCTTGATCATTTCCATGGATCAAAGTTACCTACTCACGCTAATGGGCAGTGTACTTGATTTAGAATCATATCGTGATGTTTACATTTGAATAGTCATAGTTTGCATTGTTTGAATACATTATGAATAAAAAGAGAAACACAAAAAGAAACACACAAGGAAAGAGAGCGAAATTATAGGACCTTCAGTAATGTACTTCATGTTGGGTTTGCGCACGCTGACCCTTCTTTGCAGGTCGTACTGGGAAGTATTCAAGTTCACTCGCTTACTCCATCGTGAGGCTAAAATCCGCGCCCTCGAAACTTTTCGGCTACAACCCCTGCCCATTCCCGCTGATGGCTTATCCTTTGGGTCACAGCGATGATCATTGACGGTTGGTTTACTGAACATCCAAGTCAATAAACTCATTCACACCTTGATGTCTTTGTGAGATTTGAATATGAAACCATGAAGAATTTATATAAGGGTCTTTTTCAAGAATTGAATCAGAATCGATCAGGATTAGAATGTGGATTACAATTCGAATCCAGATCAAGATCAGTTCGAGGTGAATTGAGGCAAACTTTACGCTTTTTCTTTCATGACGTTCTCTTTGCAGACATTGGATTGGAGGTCATGATAATATTGAAGAACAACCTTTGACTCGGTTGCTCAAGGAGTCATAGATACAACGGCGTGTTTATTGCACTTATCGAAATACTTGTTAGTTTCAATTGGGCACAAAAACTGACATATGGACTTCAATTGTGGCGGGAGTTTATACATTACTAGTTGGTTGGAGAATATTATGAGCGGTCATTGATTTTTTAGATAAGTCAGTGACAAGTAAAGTCGGCTCCTTGATACCAAAACAGTTCTTTGGGGTCTCCCACAAAGCGACATGGCCCATGAGCTCATGAATTAGAATTAGATCTACTTTTTTCTGCCTTTTATACACCAGTCTCATCTTTGCATGTGGCCATTCATTCAGCGTATGTTTCTTTTGATGCGTAGCTATTAAGTCATCAAACCTGTTGATTTCAAGCCAAAGTTGAATGTCGTGACTTTCACCTTTCTTTATCATTGTTGTGAAGATTTCTTCAATCTGTCCGCAAACCACTTCGGTCTTCTGTTTCGTCTTCTTGACCTGATATAGAACTGTGCTATTCGGGATACTTTTGCGTTTGATCGTATATGTAATATTATCAAGATCCACAGAGTTCAGCTGATTGACCCACCTAGAAAGAGGAATGATGTTGGTTTGTTTTTTTTCATTTTGTAAACATTTGTAGCTATAACAACCTGTTCCTCGTAGATTTCATTCATCCTACTTGCAAGGCGGACTTGAGACTCGTAGCTGAGACCTTCAAGCTTCTGGGGGTCGTATGCATACTTTGAATTTACACCGTCTGATGTTTGAAGACTTCGCGAGACACTGCTCCATGTACGTTTGGGCATTGAGAATTTCAGAAGTAGAGTTGATGCTTCCTTGGGAAGACTTTTGCACAACACCGGAAGAATGGACCGCAGGTTCTGAGCTGTGGCCCATTTTTTTAGGAGGGTGAGTTCTCGGTCGTCTATAGTCTCATCAGTAAGTTTAAGGATGGCGTGGGTGGTCAGTTAATTTGGTAGTTTTGAGGATTTCTGGATGATGGAGAGTGGAGAATTCAAACCCACCGGGATGATTGTTATTCGGGATCTGTGTCAAGAGGCCATTCAGTCTTTCAAAGTTCCATGCAGTCCACTGAGGCGCAGGGCCGAACATCTTTATAACGCGAGCCATGTGGAGAGCCATGTGCTGATTAGGAAGCACTGGGAAGGACCCGTATATTTGCGATAGGCCCTGGCGATATCTTTTCAGATGATATTGCAATGATCTAACATCATCATGTGTTACCTCCAGTTGTCGCACAATATTCAAAACACTGATAAGGTGGAAGGCATTGTCAACAGCTTTTTGAGTCAAGATATTGGATGGATCTGTGTTTTTGTTGTGGGATATCAAAATAAGCGCTGGGATGATCATCGTCTGAAAAAGTATAACCCATTCGTCTGCTTTCAACTTGCCGCCTGCTGCTGTTCCAATCCCTCTGGGCACGCGACCAATCCATGTCGGGAGTTGGACCTGTTGTATCACATTACGGAGTATGTTCATATTCTCCTTATCACTGAAGATACGACCAAAGTCTTCCTCGTCATCTTCCACGTCGAACTCCGAAAGGTCGTCTGATGATGATTCCATTTCGCTATTATCATCTGCATCTATTTCATCCGGTTTATTGAAGTCGTAAGGTTTAGTATTACAGCTGAATCCATCAAGATCCATATTCTCAAATGCAAGCGATAAGTCTGTCTCATCATCAAGATAATCATTGCTTCCCGTGCCAGAGAATACATCAAGGTCATCTTTTGATGTTGCTCTGTTTAAACTTCCAAAGTCCAAATTCGATTCATCCACGCTATCATCATCACTTGTCTGCGTGTTCTCTTCTAGGTTCTGGTACTCTATTTCGTCATCGTCGTGCGCGGCGGAATTGCCACCGTCTTCGATGTTTGAATTTCCTTCTGTCTTCTTGGAGCTTCCGTCGGGTTTTGTCTTCATGCCGAATATATTGAGTGCGTGGTTCCGAAGTAGACCTAGGAAAATATTGTGCATTGGCTCGACTACAGCGTGTTTCAGTGGATTAAAATAGGGTAGCTCCCAGAGTACCGAATATCGTACTCCATGAGTCTTGAAGATTTCGTCACGGTCTTCAACGGTCGCAGCATTCTTCCACGCCAAAGATTGGGAGCGAAGAACACGTAAAGATCGGTACAATTCTTTGGGGATATGAAGCAGATCCATATTATGGCTTTGTACTAGACATATCGAGCATGAATGGTTTTTGGAGGCGTGGCCCGCCATTCCCAACACTTTCCTGATTGCTGGGAGGTCACATATGATTGGACCCAGCATGACACGAATGATGCAGCCCTGCTTTGGATGGTTGAAAGTTGAAGTCAATTTGACGCCGGTCCACAGATCTTTGAGCTCGGAAACCAGTGGGGCCAGCACTTTGTTGATATCCGTGAGTCGGGGTTCTGAGGGTCCAGGAATCAGGCCTGCGACGAAAATGTTTTCTGGAGCTGATCTGATATGAGGTGGTAAATTCAGGCAGACTAGTGCAATTGTTCCTATAGATAATTGCTTTCCAGCAGCTTTGTTACCAAGAGGATTGAACCAATCCACATTTAAGGAAAATACCAGGTTGTTGTGTGAGCTTGTGAAAGATTCGCCATCGATTCCGCGAAAAGATTTCCACATTGACCCATGCCAAACGTCTTCCATAACTGAAGTTGACTTAGGACTTTTGTTGCAAGCAAGGTAGTCTTCAATTCCGGGCCTGTTCAAAAACCTAGCCAACCAGTCGGTGAACGAGAGAGTAGAAAGCAGTCGAGTAGCATGCAACTTTTCAACGCCATTACGCCCAGAGGCCTTTCGAAACAAAGGCGCCCCACACTTGGGGCTTCGGCGAGTGGAGCGGTAGGTGCAATTTTGTGGAATGTGGTCGTCATAATAGAGTTGGAAGCATTTGGGGCAGCAGAAAGTTCGCTTGATCTCTGGCTCAATCCTCATATCACTAATTACAGTTCTGATGTCGACCGGTCTCCAATCTCTGGTATGTTTACCTGACATATTCAAGATAGATAGGGCGATTTGAATCACATGAAGACATAGGGTAGCTATCGCCACACTGATATGTTCGAAGAGGTGTAGACAGGCAACCATGGTTATTAAGATCAAGTTCGCGGATTCCATGCGTTCAAATTGCTCGTAATATTTCATGCTGTATTTACCTATTGATTGATGATAACAGCTGAGTCAGCGATACATATTGTTTCTGAGAAAATTCAGATTCCTACATACTCGAGTCCATGATATTCCCATCCCATGCGGGCTGAAAGTGATTAGGAGACCGGTCATTGGATTGTTGGAGGGAGCTGATAAAATGGGTGATGTCGAGATGTGAGCGATTGTTTGTTGGCTCATGTTGCACCCCTGTGCTCGAACGTCCTAACAACCGATGTCAGCTATGCGATTCATCTCGCTATATCTTTGATGACATACTTTGATCTGGACCTGGATCGTTCAAGGCGGAATGAGTGTGAGTATGCTGATTAGCTGGTTGGGTGCGTTCCAATGCACTAGCGTTTTTGAGTCCAGCTCGATGTTGCTTGTATGCCTCGGATTTCGGTCGCCAAATTCGCCCTGGTTGGTTTCCTTCGTTGTGGCGGTAAGTTGACATCAAACAACGTGCACAGCGACACACAACCTCAGTCGGAGGGGTCATTTGGGGTGTGGAAGTAGCTAAGATTTAAAAGTTTCAGGAGATGTACAGTCTCTTGATGTAAGTATGTATGAGAGTCGATAAGTACGGATTATAGCACGCCCTCGCCGTTTCGATTGTCTGAAGGTGGTTGAGAGATATGGCCGCAACACGATTTGAATTTGAAGGATCTTATTTGATCAATTGGTGAGTAGGGATCACAAGCAGCGTAGCCGTTTACCTCAGCTTGAGCCGGGCGGATTCGCGCACAGCTGAGAGGCTCAAGTGCGCTGAGTCAAGGGATACTTGGGATCTGAATGGTAGTCGGTACGAAGTATTGAAGAATGAGAATGGATCGGGAAACGGGATCGGATAATGAAGTAACCGGGTCACTCAATCACATACATTCTTCTTAGACGAAATTTCATATCTTACTCATCTTAAAATGATAAATTGATGCCATTGAAGAATTGGATGCATAGGAAGATCTCATTCCCTTAATCAAAAATATCTCCCAATTCATCTAGTTCATTATCCTGATTTCCTTTTCTTTCATCAAGAATTTTCAGTGATAAAAATACTCGTACTTATTTTCTTATGTAGCTTCTCTGTTCAAGTTGTGCTTTTCTCTTTATCAGGCTTTATTACTCATGCTAATCAAGCCTGTCCTCTGCGGCCGTTTAGCATGAACCAGATACACAAAGTATCCAGATCCAAAAAGACCCATTCCCTGAGGCTTTTATATCAGCAATGGAATTCGAAGAACACAGTCACGAGTTTTACTACCTCGAGTCTCAGATATTACACTTAGGAATATGTGCCCAAAGGCAACCTCAGCTTGAGCCGCGCGGATTGCATAGCTGGCTTAGTGCGCTGAGGGGTTGTCAAGGGATACTTGAGATCTGAACTGAGCCTGAGGCTTTTAGATCAACAATGGAATTCAAAGGACACGGGTCCCCTTGAAAGAAATCCAATAAGTCGACTGGGCTTTACTACGCTCGTTGAGATCCGCGCTTGGTTGAGTAGTGTCAGAAAAGCACACATCCTCAAAACCAGCTTAAAATAGTCGCAAGGACAGCGAAAGTTATATAATTTGCAAAATACATCTTATCTTCAACATACGATTCATCATCTTATCTTCAACATACGATTCATCATCTTATCTTCAACATACTATTCATCATCTTATCTTCAACATACAATTCATCATCTTATCCTGCGGTTCTTGTCGTTTGCTGCATCGATTTCAAAGCCACCAAAAACACCCCTTTCACTTTTCAATGAGTTTTCTAGCTTTGAAAGAAGAAATTGATCAAAAGTTCAAAGAACTCGGATTAGCTATGGAGTCCGCCACCGGTGAAGAGTTGCAAGTGTCAAATTCAAATGGCGCAGTGACTTCAGAAAGTGGAGGTGAGTTAATCTTCCGCACTATCTGTCATGCCCACGTGTAAAGAGCTTATATTTATGTCAGCCTCAGTGAAGGCCAATTCCAACTGCACTCGCACAGAATTCGAAAATGAAGACCGCTGTAGCACTGTACCAGAATATCGAGATGTCAACTTGGCTACGGCTTCAACTAGCGGTAAAAAGTTTACCATGTCATTCATAACAGTCGGCTTTTTCATGTTGTTTGGTGAGCTTTCAAAGACAAGTCTCAGATTCTATGAGTGTCGGGGCTGATAAACAATGTGGGGTTTTCTAAAACAGCTATTATATCCATCCTGGGCTTGATAATTACAACATGGGCTTCTAGATGGCTGATGACTTTTGGCGCGACAGACCTCTGTGACAGTCTGAGTTCAACTTACACTATACCTGAATTCTGAGAAATATTTTTTGTGATGAGAGTTTGAAATACCAACTAAGCGTCAGTATCGCAGGTTTTGATTGAGACATTGTAGACCAAAAGAAGTCTAGTTTGAAAGTTACAATTTGCCATCAGATGAAAGATCTTGTCAGAAGGACGATGCGCAACAAGCATATTGTTAGCCTCATAGGTATCTTGTGGTTCGATTCTGGAGCATGTAAACTGTAAACTAGAGTATGGTAGAGAAAATAAAGCCAAGGTCCCGATTTCGAAGTTGAACACTTCAAGGACGTATTGGGATCAACAAAACACCCGAATTAACACTAGCTAGGCGCAAGACAAGAAAACTATGTTTCTAACGTGGATAAAGAATCGTAAAAGTTTATATTTCTACCCCTCCTTCTTCTTGCTTTGTAAACAAGCCATATTCAAGCGTCCCGTCAAACGTTTCTTGAAATTCAGGAATCTCACTTTTGATTCTAGAAGTCTGGTCTTGATCCGTGTATACTTTCCAGTAGCATGTTGCATTAATTTGTAGTGCGAATTTGCTATTATTTCCTCCTTGATGTGCTACAGAAATATAAAGATTGTTGGTCTTATGACACTCTGCCAGTCGACGTAAAGCGCTCACCTGGCGTATCTCTGCCATCTGCTTTGCGGACAACTCTGACCGCGGCTGGTGATCCACATGTTGTTGGAGACTTTGTACTGTGACCTGTGGAAGAGCAACTTGAATTGATCTGTGGTGCGAACTCGCTCTTATTTCCTCCTTGATGTGCTACAAAAACATAAAGGTTGTTGGTCTTATGATACTCGCCCAGTCGACGGAAAGAGCTCACCTGGCGTATCTCTGCCATCTGCTTTTCGGACAACTCTGACGGCGGCTGATGGTCCACATGTTGTTGGAGACTTTGTACTTGAACTTGAATCTAAAGACCCGTCGGGCATGAAAGGCACACGTCTGTCAGTGTTGACAGGTCTCAAGCATATGCACTTTCAATCTCCTCACCGTCTCTATTTGCCTACTGAGATTCGCCATCGTGCTCGAATCACTCTGGTGAATTGTGAGCCAAAATGTTGAAAGAGTTCAATTCAAACTGCAAACATCACAGGTATGAGCCATACCTGGCCATGTCCATACATATAGACTCACTTGTTCAGCTGACTCGATTATATCAGGGTCAAGCTCCTGATGAGCAACATCCTTATTTTTTTTATTCGTCGGAGATGACGGAGTCTCGGAAGTCCGAAGTGGATTATCTTCAAGAGCCATTCTAGTCGATTCAAACTAGGCACGGATGTCAAGCTTGTTCACCCAAGAATGACACAAATGGAATGCATTCACTCACCATCTCTGTTTTCTTACTGACCTCCGAAGCGGTTCCTACATGATTGGCAAACTTGATTCCGTGATCAGGTGTATCCACGCGGCGGCGATTGGCGGGGGGTACCTCGTGGCCCTCTTGGGCGTGGAAGCTGGGGGACGGCCGTTTTCGACACATGATATGGCTACCGTGTGAAGGAGGACGAGAAGGTCTGGCGTATCTACCTTCCTGGCCGGGATTTTTAAGTCTTGGGATGGGTAGAACATGAAGTTGTACAAGTCATCTGGCCGTTGGGGAGTTGTATTCTGGATAGTTTTGCGCCTTTGTCGTTTATTACCGCACTAAAAGATAAATGAAGAAGTAAGCAGAAGAGTTTTGGAGACATCCCCACTGGTGGAACAAGGGCAATTCACAGATTGCGCTCCCAGGGACAGCATTCATTGGACCCCACCGCATAGTTGTACACTACATATGGAAGTATTGCCTGAGCGTTGCTGATCTATTTCTGGAAAGGTATGTCCAACGCTTATGGAAGGGGGAACATGCAAGATCACAGCTTCCTTGAAGCTGTTATTTCAATGATTTGTATTACGAGGTCATACATTCAAGGTCTGCGATAAACCTTATCTGCGGTGATTGAATCAAGACATATATACACTAAGTGCCGCAAAAGTTCAACATTGAAATGAATAAAGATAACAGTAATGCTACTGCCCAATGCCAAGCAATAAAAATTGCGAAGTAACACACAAATAATAGAGCTAAGATTGGTTTGAGTGTCACTCTCTTGAAACGATTGGAGTTGGTAGTCGAGAAATTAGCCTGTTCAGTGTTGACCTGAGTACCGGATGTTGATGGAAGTTTTTTATGAGACGGTGACGCCATGCGTGGGCCCTCTGTATCCTGAATGCTGGTCGAGTCTCCGCACCTGGCTGTCGGAAGTGATTTGATGAAGAGGTTCGTGTGCTGCTTGTCAGAGTTGGCAGATTCAGTGAGGTGTCCCGATTTCGAAGGATGGCGATCCCTTCTTATCTTCAAAATGAAATTTTCATCCATTGGAGGCCATGGTCGCGATGTGCTTGCAGAACCTTCAGCGACTGGTGGCACGTAGATCAACATGAGCAAAAACGTCAACTAGTCAGGATCTCGAGTCATTTCCGGAATGTTTTTATCTAACCTGTGATGCGACTTTGGTCTTGTGAAGCAAGCTGATCTCCCTGCCAATTCGCAAATGGAAAGGAGCCAAACTCTTGTACTGTAATTATATACATTGGATGTTAGTGAACGAGGGGGAAATTTAGTATAGGGTGGATCAAAGTACTTACTTCCGTAAGCTGGGCAGTCAGAACTACAGTCCGGATGCAACCCTGCACTGGCTGCGTGCTTTATGACCCCAGACTTGGTCAATGCCCCACATTCGAGGCGGTTTTTCTTCTTCCGTATCGTGCTGCTACAAGCGAGGAGGTGAGGGCACTTGTAGGAACTATTCTTTCCTTGCATTTCGCTGATTTCAATGAGAATGAAATGAGGATATTACTATGAGTGATATGATACTGCAATGATACAATAGCGGTCAGCGAGTCGAGATTGATGTGGGATAATGATTCAGCGTATTAATAGACAACAAGTCATAGGACCAGTTATTGTCAAGACACACCAGAACGCTACGCACAAAGGATATCACTCGCTCAGCTCTTGAGTGAGTCACAACTCAAGAGCTGAGGACTCAAGCGCTGAGCCTCACCACTGAGTGTGTGACTCCCAATTATTTCTCTCTCACCAATATCAACCACTAGATGAGCAACACCGCGATACACCTGGTGGACGTTGAGGGACGTTTATCTGAGTGTGTTCAGTGATGTGGCTGAGGTTAGTGAATCGGCTCAACCCTTTACGGTGGTCGACAACCGATGCCCCCTCGAGAATCACGGGCGTGTCTGCGCCTGTGACATCTTCTGTATCACACCTACCAATCTCAGTGCATGATATGTACACCCCTCCTCACTCGAGCCAATCGCGCAACTGATACACACATCCAAACTCTCAGCAATTTCAGTCGAATTAATCCCAAAATCATTGAGCCCCACATGGCAGACCCGTCATTGCAATAAGTATCTTGTTTATCAATTCCATATAAACTCCCTTCGCTTTTGAGTTTTCATTCCTATCTTAATTTCTCGAATTATTATTTCATTGCTAAAGTCTTTTATTATTATTAATTATTGATTATGTATTCTGACAAGTCACGCTAATCAGCTCTTATTGTATTTAAATCGACATACACGCACGGTTGACTTCTATTTTAGCAAAGTGGCTTCCTTTGCTATTGAACCTGCTGGATTATTGACACACGCTCAGCTCTTCGCGCGTGCTATGTATTATGAAGAGATTGATTTACAAGGAAGTGATATTGAAAAATGAGATTTGAAGCCTGTATCAGCGTGATTGTAATCTCTCATCTGAGAGCCTACATTTTAGGTAAAAATTCGATAGTAAAAATTCGATAGTATTATTGCCATCTTTTTTGTCCTGATATGGAGGAAGTTGTTTGTTTGCATTGTCGAATCTGGAAGGCAAATATTGCGGAAGAGATTGCGTGTGCATAGAGACTCTTGTTGGTGTCATTAGTGCCAAATATTGGGCTGTTCGCTCTTAATGACCCAACTTTACTGAAAATCATAGTAACATCACCACTTACCTATGGCACTATCCATCTCGACATACAACAAGTCATGCGAGTACCAGAAAAATGAGCGCACATCATGAGAATTATTGAAGGGCGACTGCAGTGCCTCAAAGTGGGCACATTCCTGAAAACCGTATCATTACTGACCAGAATGATAATACCACCATTGAAATTGGACAAGATGCATGGAATTAAAGTCGTGTTGTTTTGGCACGTAGTGCTTCCCCGACGTCTAAAGTCTCGGCGTCAGGTTCATGACGGGCTACTTTGGGTACGCTGTGACTGCGCTCAAGGGCATCATCGTCAGGACAGGGCCTGTAAAAACTTCACGATGCATTGATGACAGGTACTTTGTTCAAGATGGTATCCGGTAGGAAGTGGAAATAATCTCAAGGCTCGCGGAATAGTCTCCGCACGCATCTCATGGACCTGTCCCTGAAGATGAGTACAGCTCGCGGTTGTCGACAACCGAGGCTTGAGAAAGCCTCGAAATAGAGAAAGTGAGGAAATTGGAAGCGCATATGCTCGAGACCTGTCAACACTGAAAAATGTGTGCCTTTCATGCCTGACGGGTCTTTAGATTCAAGTTCAAGTACAAAGTATCTTCAACAACATGTGGACCAACAGCCGCCGTTAGAGTTGTCGGCAAACAGATGGCAGAGATGCGCCAGGTGAGCTGTTGCCGTCGAATGGTATACTGTCATAAGACCAACAATCTTTATATTTTTGTAGCACATCAAGGAGGAAATATTACCGAGTTCGCACTACAGATTGATGCAAGATGCTACTCCACAGGTCACAGTACAAAGTCTTCAACAACTTGTGGAAATGGGAAGGAGAAATGCTTTCGGATAATAGTAATCGGGTACGCAGAATACCTCCATTCTTTATAGATGAGGAAGCTTATCGGCAAGACTAGCACATCTCAAAATGTCCAGAAGTTGGAGGGATAGGAGGATCAAATATGAACTCCCTAATTCCCAATTTCATAAATTTCACTTATATAAAATTCAAAATCAAAAATGGCTCATTCATCCATTGTTATTATCCTAAAAGTTTTTTCTTAATCGTCGACCTCCCGCCCACCCAAGCTAAGAAAGGTTGCGATAAAAAAAATAACAAAAATTTGTATTTCTTTCCTGTATAAGTTCAAACCTTTGATTATTAATTCACATGTGCGAGGTATATGTTGTTCCCTTTCAAAAATTAGTGTATCAGCTACGAAAAGTGTGTGGTAAATCCACAGTTTTGAGTAATAACTTTTTTTATATGTAGTGTGGACCTCACTGTAGTGGTTAATCCATTCAATACAAGGCTTCTCAATACTAAGACTCGCATTAGCGGGATTGATTCCATATCAGTTGAAAATTAATCATAAGTGCGCTAATCGTGAATCCAAAACAAGGGTCACGGTTGTCGACAACCGCGGGCTTATACAAGGTTCAAGGACTTTCCGCTAGGTATAGACTGCTTTGAACCTAACCTGCAACTGGCAAACCTATTGTTTGCGGCTCTCACTACCTTAATCTCAACTGGTTGGATGTTTGTGCTCTAGCGTCAAATTGCGGATAAGGCATGTAACATAAGCCTTGGAAGGATACATCGATTGTATGTCGCGTCCTCCTTCTCATCTCTCATACTCTAGTGCTGCGTTATCATACTTTTCAATAGATTCAGCCTACTTTGCTCGCACTGTTCAAAAGCCTTTTCCCCTGCATTGAAGTGCCCTTTTTGGGGACTCAGGTCTGATAGGCTCGCTCGCGCATACTAGCCTCTGCCGCTTGACCATGCTCAAATTAGGCGGTTGTAGAAGGTCGCGCTGCATTGGTCACATCGACCGCCAGTCTTCAAGCTTCATTTGATAACTTTTCATCGTTGTTTCAACTCTTTGATTCCTTGACATTTAATAATTTCCACAAGTCGTTCCTCTAACTTCTCGGCTTCACTTCTTTTTTTGATCATGTGACAGACAACTGACCATAGGAATGCTCACGGTTGCCAAGAGATCACCGAAACACCGGTATCCTCCGCTGAGCCGGCCGCACGCTAGGATGAGCTTGCTGTCGATAGAGCCCTTGGGTATGTGTCCTTGCCCTTGGCCAAACAATGTAACCACCACCTGGGGGGCTGGCGCATTGACAAGTTGCGATGCCGCCGAGCCCCAGTAATCCGGCTAGTTTGCATGACAAGTTGCATGTTTGACGCACCGGATCTGGTTGGCCCTTATGTAAATATGATCGGCTTGCTGATCACCTTTGCAAGTTGGCAAATTAAATTCTAGGATCACATTTACACCACATCGAGCATCCAAAAATGCAGAGATCAAAGTCACCATTGAACCACCTCCCCGAGGATATGCAGCGCTCATCCTCTCCATTGACGGAGCTATCAGAAGAATTGCAATGCTTCTTTGAACCACCATCATTGCCATTTGTTGACACCAGTGAAATATCCTCCAAGCCCAATCCTTCGATCGAGGTAGCGGTGAAGAAACGCTCAAATATCGATGGCTCTATTCAGCGTGAGTCTTGGCTTTGACGCGTCCTCCTCATTCCTGCTTACCCAGCCTCATTGCAACAGAGAATCTCAAGCAACGACGCATCGACTTCGTTCCAGCGATCTTTGCTCCACCCACCCCGGCACAAGATTTCACCCCAGCCCAAACGCTCATCCAGCAAAAAATGGCTTTTGAGTATGTCCGCAAGAGTATTCGGGATGCTTTTGTTGTGCATTTGGACTATGACGTCGCAGTGGCACGGTTCCTGCAGGAGACTGCTCATCTCAAACTTGGGGATATTCCACACTCAGTAGACTTTGTATTAGCCAAATCTGAACGCGAAGGACGGTCGACATCACTTCAAAACAATGCTTACGTCTGCGCACGTTATATTAAGGAAGGTCTGGTGGCTTATGACTCTGGTGCTGAGCAGAAGAGACCTTTTGCTCTCCGTTATCCAAACTTGAATGCTTTGAAAGCGCTTGCGATCAAAAACTCCGCCTCCGCGCGTTCCATGCCTTCAGACGTCCCTGTTATCTTACTAGACATTGCTGGGCGGATGCTAGCCGTTGGACTGCCTCCAAAGCGACAGAAGACACCGGCCCACGAGGACGGCGCCGTGAGTGCCTTTTCATCATCCCCTATACATCACCGAACAGTGACTGATGTTACAATTAAAGCGAGGTGATTTGCGAAACGCAAAGAACAGCGCAGTCCAAGTTGCCAAGGTTGGCATAGTAGACAATGCTGAGGGGGGTGCGGTCAGTCTCTGTTTTCCATTGTTTGCGACGCCAGATACTTATCTTGAAACCACAGGCAGGGGATCCTGGAACCGCGAAGGACGGCACGAAGAATCCCACCATGGATCGCGCGGTCAGTCCTTGTTCACAAACGTTTTACATAATAGCAACCAATTGGTTATCTTTACATCACTAGGAACGGGCACTCCTTGCTTGTCTGGGGTCGGCACGAGTATATAACCTACCAATCGTGGACCAAGAGCTTGTTGACAAGGCACCACCTGTCAATTCATCGGGTCTTACACCTTTTCCTCTGACTATGACCAGTGGGTCCCGACTTTCCCAAATTACCAGCCAGGTGGCGCCACATCTTGGAGCGATTCATGGCACGGTCCAGTATCAGTCTTTTGGATATGGATTGGGTGCGGTAAGCCATGTCAATTTCATCTACTTTATTTGACAATATACAAGTTGATATTTTTCATATCAACAGCCCAATTCGTCGGACATGGCTGATAAACAGCTGACCTTCGGTCCTGAACGCCAGGGGTCTTTGGAAGTCGACGCCGCATGGCGCAAGCGCACCGTGGACCGAGTAAACTTACCCCAGATCATCCAGCAGAGTGGCGGCCCACTCTACAAGAGACGTGAAGATGCGAGAGTCACCATTGAGCTGGGTTGGCAATACGATGTCTCACTTGCAGTCATTATGGCGGTGCAACCAGAGGCATACAGAATAGCACATGAAAATATCGATCTACTCTCTACTGATGGTGATGTGCTAGTGCAACAACGGATTAGTCACATGCGACATCGAATCTTGTGTAGTACGTCCTCGACGCACAAAGCAGCTGGCACAAAGCTAGCTCCTGAGTATTCCAGAACACTGACCCTGATTTTGTTGATCAGATCGCCAAATCACGTACAATATGCAGTGTAACTATCACCGAGATGGCAAGAACTCAAACCTCCTTGACTCCGTTTTCTTCCTTGGCGAAGGCTACAAGGGAGCAAGGTTTGTCCTAGCTGATCTAGGTGTCACACTATGTGGAGACCATGGATACTCCGTTCATGGCATGTTCAAAGTCTTAGTTCATTCCGTGACCCACATCCATCCCGACCCAGACCGTAATCAACCCCCGCAACGCATATCTCTAGCCATCTACAATCATGCGGATGCTTATGCTGGAATCGCCAGATATGCAGCAGCGCATGATCAAAGCGGTCTTTTTAGTAAAGTATCATTGTGGCTGCCTTTCTCCCCTGGTAACTTTTCTGTTTCCGATAGTGTCAAAATCTTACGAGATGCTGGAAAGGCGATAGGGAAGGAGTACGAAGAGATGAAATAAAACAAAAGGCTTTTTTCATTTCTCATTGTACAACGGTCTCAAGAACAGAAAACGCGCGTAAATATTGGGAGCCTTATAATAGCTGGGAATGGGTCTCATTTGTTTTGGGTACTGGTTGTATCTTGATCACACTAAACGGCCGCTGAGGTCAGGCTGAATTAGCGCATAGTAAAGATAATGCAGTTTTCCAACGTGAAAAATAATTAAATTTTATCCCAAGATGATTGATAAATTCAATTGTTTTTCATCTTGAGAAAACACACTTGCAAAAGAATCGTTGATTTTAATATTTATAACAGGCTGATAGTTCCCAAAATCAAACGAAATAGCCAATATTCTCATAGACTAACTGGAACATTTTAAATCAAGGTAAACGCCTAATCTATTTCTCAAGATTCCACCTATACTTCATATACACACTATATGATTCACACCACCACTTGAACCGTTACATCAAGATCCAAAGCCACCCGTCCCTTAAGGCGTATGGGTGTAGGGCGGCGCGGCGGCATCAGGTTCCATTCTATTCGCAGCAGCAGCATCTTCCACATCACAGGTGCGTTTACTGTGAACAAAGCATCATGTCAGTCAGAATGATCTCATTCAGACGCAATATGTGATTTTTTTGGTTCATTAACTTACATCTCCTGAGCTATTAGTGCCCACAGAAGCCCGGTGTCATCTTGATATTCTCGAACCATGCGCTTATAACGTTTGTAACGTTTGCGTGACTCCTTTTCTTGACGCTTCAAGATTTCCCTGTGAGCAATGACTTCGGGATCTTCTGAACGTAACATCGTGTAAATGTATCGAAGCATGATTCGAGCTTCGCAATAATCTTGCCTGATGTCGTCAGTTGCTTCTTCCAAATACACCATAGAGCTGATAAGATGCTCGATCTCGTGACTGTTTAGGAAGCCGTGTCTTTGTACATGTTGAACAAGATAGTCGGGTATCTTGTGGAAGGACCCGGGTTCCAGATTGTTTTTGAAGTAGACATCAAAGTTCCTTTCACGTTCAAGAGAAGTCGAGCCGCCTCCGGGGATTGCGTTTGGATCTGGCTTTCGATCATGACACGCAATGGCTTCTAAACCGGGTAAGATGCCGCTAGTTACACGGCCTAGTATAGGTGGAAACATCATTGCTACAGGGTATGTAAAAAAATCTTTTAACTTGGAGCTTTTGAAATATGAGAAATAGAGAAAACACTGACCAGTATAAATTTTGCTGCAGCGGAGTCCGGCGCGAGTAAGGAATCAATAGATGTCCAGCTACGTCGACCTCTGGATAACACCTCTTGAATGCAGCACAAATCAGGTATGAAAGGGGTTGTGGTATTCGTGCACAAACCCACTTCACAAAGGGTGTAAATCTGTCAAGTTTCACTCGTACATCATTCAAATAAACCCCACTCGCACGATCTGATTTTTGGAAGTAACCACTTACGAACCGCCTTCAAATAAGCACTTCCAAATCACAGCTCCTTGAAACATCCGACTTGATTAAGACAAACAGAAAGAGTTGCAGAAAGTCTCTCATCTGATCATCAAAATATGAATAATGTTTTCTGTACTACTTTTACTTTTCCCCTGTAAGTTTTTACAGATTGAGAAACACCAGTAGAAAAATTCTGGGATATGGTGGGTTCTTGATTGAGTTGCACATGTGCGTCTTTTTGGAATTTTGCGACAATCAATTGTTTTTCAGAGAAAATTCTCAAGATGAAAAACAATTGAATATATCAATCATTTTGGGATGAAATTTACTTATTTTTCACCTTGGAAAACTGCATTATCTTCACAGTATAACGAAACCTGACAGAAGATAAAAACGCAACTAGACATAGAAAACGGCGGAGTACGGCGTCTAAACGGTTTCAGCCCCCGCAAGGCAAATCGGTTTACAAACCGTTTCTTGACAACCGTTTGTGTACCGTTTTGGGGGGTCCGTGGTGTACGAGTTCTATGTGGGCGGCTTGTGCGTTTTACGCGCCTACCTACAACAATTATACATTTACTTTTTTTGAGAGAGAAGGAACTGAACTGAACAAATTTACTAAACTAACAATTTTTTTATAGATTTTTTGTGCATTTTAACAATTGTAACCTAACGTTATCAATAAAAAAGAGTTGGGCGGGCGGGAGGTGAATAATTTTGTCACTAAAATTCTCGACGTATGAAAAGATTTTGAGGATAATGAAGAGTGGATGAATAGAAAAGATTTTAATTTTAGATTTTAATTTTTCGATAAGGAGTGGGAATTAGGGAATTTCGCCATCCTAAACATCCAACTTTTTTCGAGACATCATATATTAGTTTTTACTAAGAGATTAATAATTATGCTATTCGTCTGAAAAGATTAGCTGATGTGCTGTGATCCGGCTACTTCATTATCCGACACCTTTTCCCCGACCCTTTCCCATATCAATACGCGTACCGACTTCTAAGAATACAAAAACGAAGTCAGCACTAGACTTTCTGAGATTTTCTGAGGTAGAGGAAGAAATGAAGTGAACAAACTTCAGGCTATCGAGTTACAAATTACACTTGGATCTTCATCAATCGGTGGAGTTTTCCATTGGGTCGACATCTATAGCGGCCTTGTCCCTAGAATGTGAGGTGGTTATCAAGTCAGAAAAAAAAGATAGAAGAGTCAGGCTTTATTCCATGTCGGTGAAAGAGCTCACCGGTGATGTCTCTTCAATGCAGCGAGAAAGCCAACATCTTGAATGGCGCGATCAAACATTGTCCGGCGCGATTCTAAGGTCCTTCTCGCAGCTTTTAGTTCCACCTCCATGTCTTGGCGGCATTCGGCAGAGAGATCGGGGTCACGTAACCGAATATGTAGCGCTTCAATCGATTGATGAGCGTCTTGGAGGAATGAGACATGACTTTGGAGAGTTCCTTCAGCTTCCTCTTGAGTAGAGTGGATCTCATGTATCTCGTCTTCGGTGAGGTATTTGTAAGTCTCGACAAATATGTGGAGATTTTCGGCGGCAAGCCGATACTGCCCGCTCCTAAGGTAAGAGAGGGCGCAAGAATTGAACATGATGATGCGACCTGGGGTGATATCATCTGCACATTTGATGGTTGTGCGAAAGTTTTGTGGTCCACAGATGGGAGTTCGCAAGGATGCTTGGAAGTAATTTTGGGGCTTGCGGTTCGAAGGGACGACTACCTTGTGGAGCTGGGTTGCTACCATGTCTTTGAAAATCTTGCTAAGAATATAGTAATTGTCCTTTGCGTTTTCATCGAATTCCAAATGCGGGTAGAAAGCAAAGATCATGTCTAGGATATTGGAGTTGGTTGCTTTACTTAAAAAGAGTTCAGGATCGATCCTAGGCGGGTTGCAGTCATCGCGGACACATTGGAGAATGTAGTTGGGCAGTAGAACAGATGTCCGTATTGGGGTCGACATGCTACACTCGGTTGAAGGAACGAGTTGGGCAAGAGGGAGAATACTATACGAAGTTGTGTAGCTGGAGTCGGTTTGTTGACTCAGTGTTCTAGAGTGTTCTGCACGTTGTTCAATGGGAGATATCATGCAAATCATGTACGTAAATTCAAGCGCAAAATGTCAACCCTACTCAATTTACCCAATCTCCGCATATGGATCCAAGTCCTGATACATAAAAACGAGTTAGAGTGATCACAGAGGATTATGTACAGGCTTTATTGAACTCAACAGAGTCTAACAGAGTCCCACGCTGCTTCTCGGCTGGGATGACGAGGGCATGGTCGCATCCGCGGAACTAGGGAACGTTCCCAAAAAAAAGGTTCCTTAAGACCACCTAGGAACATTCCTAAGTAAGTGTCACCAAGCCTGAGAGCTTCTAAGCTTCGCGTCGGACAGATCTTCTTGATGAGTTTGACGCAGTGGAATAACCTCTCGCGATACCGCACCCCCTTTTCAGCACCATAGCGATCCGCTAAGACCAAAGAACAGTTAAATATGGTGACTCCAGAGTCGAAACGCGGTAGAATCCACCAAGGGCAATATTAACAACATTAAAAGACATTAACTTGATTAAAGGTCTACAAAAGAGGAGATATCGACGCCTTTTGAACGATATCAACCTCCTTGAAGGTTTACAAAAGTGAAAAGGCCAATACTCGGTCGCGCATTATTGTATCGTCACGGCAAGCGAGCAGCAGGAGGAAATATAATGGCCACCGCTATCTTCTGCTGTCCGCGTACTCTCTACCGCTTGAGTAAAACCTCGCATTATCAAGGAGCTGCGCTCTTCAATTGCAATCACATCCACCTAACTTGCTAAACAACCTTTTAACTATTGATTTCCATTCCTGTCTGTCTGTGAAGCCGCGTACCCAATACCCACCAATGTTGTACTAATTATCCCAAACTTGATTATGAACGTCTGCTTGATCCACAAAGTCAGCTCACTGTCGCAAACAATCAACCAACGGGCTTGTTGTTGATTTATGATTCAAAGAATGTACAAAATGCTTTGGGTTGGCAGGATGAGAACGCGAGAGAGATGTGTGCAAACATGAGAGTGGTAGAGCTGGAACAGTCGCTGTAAGCGACATGAGGTGACCCGATGCGTTGTTTTTTCAAATTTCATTTGACGCATGGGGCGTAGGAACGTAGTTCCTTATGTAGCGAAGGAACGTTCCGAAGTTCCTCAGGTGCGACCATGTTCTGGGGATGACGGTGCTCGTATCCTTTTGTCAAAAGATGTTTCCAGCAAACTAATAAAGAAGAAAAATAGCGTAGCTCGAAATAAAGTTATAACAAAGGATATAAATCCACTAGCCCCACATGAAGAGGAGGATTGGCCCATGACGATTTGAGATAAAATAATTTGAACACTGATCACGAATTCCAGAAACACACATAGAGATAGCCACTATTTTTCCAACATGAATTTCCAGTCAATGATAGAGGGCAATAGTGGATATAGAATAAAGGTATAGGCGATGAAGTCAATCAAATTATAGAATTGCCCCTTGGCTTCGATTCATGGACTGCTTGCCTAAATTTCTGTATGATGTGACGCATGGCGTGCACCTCATCTTCGACGGATAGTTGATGATCGGCGATGTGGAATCCAACTAATGAGGCCTGGTAAAAAATGAATCATTATGAGCCCTGGACTTGACTGGTCTACATTCGGATTCGACGTACTTTGAAGAAAACCACATTATTGCGATATGCAACCAGCACGCTCCGTAGATCCTCCAGCCGTCGCCACGTCTGCATTATCTCTTGAACACTCTCAGAGGTTAAGACAATGTCCCTTTTCAGCTGCTTATTACCCCACGGTTCATTGTTCAACAACTTCCTCCAAAAGGTGGCGGACTCTTGTTTCTGGAGAAGCTGTTGATGATGCTGAAGGAGTTCGGCCGTCACCGAAGTCGCTTGTTCTCCCGCCCGTGCTACAACTGGGAGTGTGTGCTCAACCTGGAGCAGAAGTCGAGAAAGGTCTAGTGATAGGTGATCGTAAAGTAAGTCGAGATTGTGTGAGATGGTCTCGGCGGAGTACCTTGATGGACTCCCTGAGTGAACTATCTCAACGAGGTCTTGGATCCTCGAGAACTGGTGTGGAGGAGAGGCCAAGGTCAGCAGAAAGATCATCGAGACAAGTACTGAAGGGCAACCCACCTCATGAGCAACGAAGGAAAATGTATTGATGCCTTGACTGTTGAGTCCTATGAGGCGATCTTTGACGTCTTTGGTTTGCTCACTCAGATCCCACAGCTGGATCGCTAGCAATTCCCTACCCTCGAAAGCAGACGAGTATTGAATGGCCAAGCCCAACTCAAGTATCTCTGCTTGGTGGAGTGCAAGGTTAAACGGGTTGCCAATGCCAATGACTGAATCGAAGATGTCCGACGAGATTTTAGCACTTGTGGCAACAGACCGCGTCACTTGTGATAAAGGACGGATGGTGCCCTTATTCTGTGCATTTTCGCCGCACGATGCAGCTTGAAATAATGTGCAGTAGACATAGGTTATGTAGGGAAGCAGACTGGTAGGAACTGTAAGATATTGGCGTAGGTCTGTAGAAAATGAGGTTATAAGATGATTGAACACGATGGATATCATCAAAACCGAGATAACGAAGAGAAGACCCAAGATGAAAGTAGCATATCGCATCATGGTGTGAATCATAATAAGCTGAAAGGGTTAATTGAGAGTAGTGGATTTTTTTAAAGTAGGTTAGACTGGCCTTATTTATGAATGTGAAAAGAAGTACGAGAGAGTGAGGGAGCCCTTGCGCAGCCCTCAGCAGGATGATAAAGGGATAATATCACGAAAGATGCGCATGCTCATCAAACCTCTATGACAATGGGTGGCGCATGAGGAGTTTTTTATATCGCTGGCGGCCTGCGCAAAGCTGGGCAGGTCAGCAGATGTCATGAGCGATTTGTGTGTTCTTCGAGTGTTTGCCCTTAGCAGGATGATAAAGGGATAATATCACGAAAGATGCGCATGCTCATCAAACCTCTATGACAATGGGTGGCGCATGTGGAGTTTTTTGTATCGCTGGCGGCCTGCGCAAAGCTGGGCAGGTCAGCAGATGTCATGAGCGATTTGTGTGTTCTTCGAGTGTTTCTGTTTCTCGGTTGCCACAGCTGCCTCTTTGTTGTTATTGATGAAGAGGAAAAGTCTTTATGCAGGTGGTTTTATGTCTCAGTTGAATGTTCTACGTTTTGCCCATCATCCACAAAATAACCATAGCCATGAGCTCACCAATGAAGTCAGAGGAACCCAACCCTTTACGCTATTTGATGGACCTTAATCTAATCTCTAACGCCATCGACCAATGGTTACACTCTATTCCGATGACCACCAAGCTAGCTGAATGCCTAGAAGCAGTGACGGAGCATGCAAACAACGAGATGTCATGTATGTTGGTCCTCCAATCTTGCTTGTGTTTGTTTGACTGGTCTGACTGATGCATATCACGCTTCATCAGTTTTTCGAAAAATTGCTTCACAATCGGTTCATATGCATATAGAACCCATTCCAGCCCACAAGAATGAACTAATGATCAACACGGCCAGACACGACGGCAGCATATTCGAAACCCCACCCATGTCGCCACTCAAGAAAGTCCCCCGCACGCTTGATACCTTGCTAACTCCGCTCGATAAGCTCGATAAGGCGAAAAGGTCACTCGGTCCTTCTAGCCCATCACACCATCTGTTCCACACTCCGTCCCACGAATCTTCCCCAACACCAAATCCCCAAATAGGCGAATCATCCCGGGACGATTCATCGAAGACCCTGATAGAGGGCTCCAGTCGACGAGAGAAAAAAAGAGGACGAACAACTGATGAGGAGGAGAGGGCTGACGGCTCTCCCCGCCGTTCTGCACGGTTAGCTTGCCCTATACACACATTGTCAATTCGGACGGTCCATCCTTCGACGTCTTCTGCTCCTTTGAAATCGCGACGTGCCAAAAAACAAAAGACTCGAAATGCCGCGAACCAAGAAGTCCAGCAGTCTGCAATCCGCCCACAGACAGCCTCGCCAACGCCCACAGAGTTAACTGTCCAGTCCAGTCCAGAGATTCGCATCGGGGGCGCCAGCTACGACGTATCTTCTCAAAGTCGGCCTAGTGCGAGAACCGTGGACAATGGATCTGGGACACCTCGAGCTGTAGAATCTCACATTGATACTGACCAGCTCAACACGTTCTGGATTGAAAAGATTGACTTACACCGAAGCAAATCCGTTCAAAGGCAAACTATACTCACCACTGAAGTAGCCGCAATATATGAGGCGTCGCATGTATTGTTGACCGCACTTACACGAGGTTCTAGCACCCATTTCGATCCAGAAGAAATGCTTTCCCAGCCTGTGACCTTCAGTAGTGTGGGGCAACCACGCATCCGCGAGTGGTGCAAGAAGCCAGAAAGTCAGGCACCTTTCTTTCCTTCTTTCTTTGTTTTCTATTGCTGATTTGTCGAATGTTCTTCAGATCAAGAATTGTTCACTCCAACCTTAGGGACAATTTGGTATCAGCCGCACGTCTTCGATTTTCTCAAAATTTCAACGTCTTCTCCCCCAGACGAACTTCCGACTCATGAGCGTTATCTGTGGCAGACTTTGAAGATTTTTCACAATCCCAGCGCTTGTTTTCTCGAACGGAGCATGCACTATGTCTTGGCCGCTCTTGTCCTGATTGGAACTGACGCCCACAAAGTGGTCCCATCTACTAACGCGATTTACAACACATCGGCGATGTCTCGTGGGACCCGGAATGCTGTCACATGCTGGCAGCACTTCAAAGAACTCTCATCACTTCAATTGGAAAACATGCAGGACAAAGAATCGCCCTCCCGTGATTGTTGTATTCAAGATCTAGACCGGTTCATCATTCTGATCTACACAATGATCGAGACCTTTGCGAGTATCTGGGCTTCAGCAACCCTTGATGATGAAATTGCAACATATACAAATCGCATAGTCAACGGTGGATCGCCTGACGCCGTGAGGGCGTTCACAGATCGCAAGGACGAGCTGACAAGAACTCGTAGTCAAATAGCCATATCGCATGCTAATCTTCCAGCTCTTGTCAGCTTTCTCTGTTGTGGAGTCAAAGGGTTGATGATCTACCCAAAAGACAAACACAACTTCTCACCTCTCCGCGCACTTAACTTTCTCCTTATAACCAGTCATCTCGCAAAGGCGGGTCAAGCTGTAGAAGAGCCGATCTGGAAAAGAACCCAATCATACATACTCGACTTTATGAAAGCTGTGATCCAATCAAGTCGTGAATGGGTACCATGCGAGCTCAATCGATATCATTTGGCCAAGGCACTTTTCCTAGATTTTTCTGATTTTTATCTAGCACGTAGTATCAAAACTATCCCCATACCAAACACTAGAAATTATAAAGTAACTGATAAGGAATGTACTTGAAAGTTGACGGCCGAAAGGCACCATGTATCCACAAAACTGTTGGTTAGTCATTACGTCACGTGGTATTTTGAAATGTTGTTGTGTCTTTTTTGTCGTGTTGTGCTCATTTGATGTTGTTGCTATGATACGTTCCTCTCTACTTTCTCAACTAACCTTTGTACGCGTTTAACTCTCTCATCTAATCGTGTCCAGACTATAAAGTCTTCTATCTGTCAGCCCTTGGCTAGAACTCCATCGGTTCGAAGCCTTTCTCTTTTTTGATCACAACTTACTTACGTATGACTTGTGAAATCCGTGCTTGACTCATAGGTGTGTTTCTTTTATCTGTTTCTCTCTTATGTTTTATTTTCTTGTTATGTTGTATGTGTTGCGAAATAAATCATCAGTTCGAAGCCTTTCTCTTTTTTGATCACAACTTACTTGCTTATAACTTGTGAAATCCGTGCTTGACTCATAGAAACACCCCACCCTTCATCATTTATTTTGGATTACTCAAAGTGTATAATACTCTGCTAGATCCTCATGTAGTGTCCGTGTTTTGAGTGGCGGGCCATTCTAGAAGATCGTTTTGATTGGCTTGTGTGTTAAGAGAAGTTGATTGTTACAGTGCCAACACCTCTCTCCAGGGCCACCAGTTATCAAACTTGTGCGTTCAAGAGAAGTAATTCAAAACTTTGTGACAAATTGCTTTTTGCGCCTTTTGAACGACCTGTCAGTTAGCGGTGCATCTGATAGTACGCTTAAATAAAGAAAGACCCACCTTTTGAAACTTCATGACCATTGTAGCAGTGAATGAGTGGAGCTAGCTTCATAGCAATCCTTACGACATGAGGGACACCCGCGCAAACAATCAGGAGCTTCGGTTGTCGACAACCGTGCTTGCACAAGCTGACATCTTCGAGTGGAAACCACGTGAGTTATTGAATGGTTTCCGGTTTATTTATGGCCCAGCAGCAACAATCTTCAACTGCTCTATAAAGCTGAATCGATATTCGGGACTATTTCATCTGATTCTGAATCTTATCTAAATGTAGCTACATTGTTTGATCAAGAATTCGTTCTACAAAGTCGAACCTCTATCAGCGTAGTCTTTGCTAAGATATTTCTCTCTATCTCACTCTTATCGAATTGGTTTGGTTACATAATCACTTACAGGGATCTCAACCCATCCGCACGACAGACAAAGTTACATCATTACATCTGAGTGCATCCATCTTCACCGTATTCATTCCGAGGTGGGTTTGTGAAGATTTTAGTCTTGTTTAATGTACAGACTGTGAAACGTTCATTTAGAAAGAAAATCAGATCGGTGGAAATCATGGAACAAACATGAGAGTCGATCGAGACAGAAGACTGCAGTGGTTTCATGGGCCACCCACCCACCGCCCACGACTAATCGCCATCGATAGCCGCGGAGAACAGCGAAGCCCATATTGACCACCAGGAACTGTACATTCCTTGTCACGAACTGCTTAGTGCCCATTACAGCAATCACAAGTGTGTGTGTATGTATTGCAGTTACTGAGATTACTACGACCGCGACAAGCTCAAACGGAGTACAAAGACCCGACCGGAAGTTCAAAATCCATAGTATCCTCTCACACCATCAAGAAGCCCAGAGTGTCAGGCAGTACCGTGAAGTCACACGAGCTCGACCAATTTTGCCTGCAAAACTCGGCAAATTGTGGGATAAGCTTTTCTGCTGACGTTTGGTGTCTAGGTGGCATGTGAATCGACCAACTCTTTACTCTTGCATAACAAGTATTCTATACATATATCGTGCGTACAAAAAATATTTCGAAAGATTGGAACGTGTGGATGCCAACAAGATCATCCAATGCGTGTCACCAGCCAATCATTCCAAAAAGAGAAAATACTCGGTAAAACATCCAATAGGCAACCACATAGCAGAAACGGAGCCCTTCCAGGTTGAGGGAACAGGCTACAGAGGCGATTCGGGATCAGGAAAGAGACGCAGTTTGGGGTTTCAGCTCTTTGAAAATGTTCGACGCAGAAAACCGTCAACATACCGAACTTGGCCTCAAGCACTGAGTACTGTACCTCAAGCTCTCTCAGAGTTTCGTGGATAATCAAATACTTTTCCTGCATCAGACAATGGTTTTCACGGCCCAGACGTTGAAAATACTGAAGATCATCTGAAAGGTTTTCCACAGAAGCAGAAACGTGTAAAAATCTCTTTTCCAAGAGGTCCAAGCGTTGCCTTGTAAGTGAGGCATCGCGCATATGGTCCGCAAGTCCCTGGGATGCTGCTTTCCAATTCTCTGAGAGATGATGAATGGTCAGTCTTGTGGTTCGAAACCCGCCTACAGGATACATGAAGAATCCCAGGTGTAGCTTACTTGCATTGTCACAAGCTTCGGTTTCAACTCGTGTCCGTATATGAGATAATTCCGCGCGTGAATGTTTCAGAAGACCGTAATAACTTGATGTCTCTTGCTTTATCGCGTCAAGAACTAGTTCTACGGGAGGTTTAATCAGTGAAACATAAAGTGAGTGAGGGAAAAGGCACCAACCGTTCAGTCTTCCACTAGTCTCTAAAGTGAATCCCGGCAAGATATTTGGGGGTACAGTTGCTGTTGTCCCCATGGGCTTCAACGTAGCCACAGAGACATCGGTGCTCGGTGAGCTTGAACCTGAAGGGCCACGAGCCAACTCGCTCGATACGCTTGATAGATGGGGGTTCATGTTTCTGCACTGATATAGGTGGATTCAACGTCTACAGGGATGGTTATATTTAGCTTGTTATGCTGAAAATTTGGAAGGGGGGATAAAATGCAACAAAACACGCTAACAGATGGGGTGAAGAGGGTTTCGGTGAAGATTGCAATCGTGTTCCCAACCTGTTGGCAAAGGGTATATATACATCAAACACAGGCTATCGCATGAGTCAACTGATCGATTCTGCTGGGCGTTGTGATTGGATAAATGAGCGATATGAAAGGGCTGTTTGTACTTTATTCTGGGCAGCTCAGTCTACGATGAAACCTCCCTGGTTTCACTCCCCGTTATGATCCTGGCTCATTTTCTTGGATGAGCTTTGATGATTAGGCTTTATGAAGTCAAGCTGAACCTGCCAGAAGAGTCTGAGGAAGGTAAAGTGGGTGGCAATCAACGTAGTTATTAATACCCGCAGACCCGCATCTAATTACAGATAAGCTTTCGTTGACCACGCAGGAGTCCTCTTCTCACCTCAGCGGGGTTGCTTATGACAAAGGACTTGAATTTGCCGCGCCTGCTCAGGGTTAGGGGTTCTTTTCTCAATTTGTCCCTCCAGCGCACCCTTCGTTTGAACAATCCTCATACATAACCGATTCCTTGCTACACCGAAAACACTAGCAATCCGCACAGAATCCCATACAGACCGGGAAATCCTATCCAAGGCTAGAAGATACAATTCAGAAGGTCGGTTATGAATTTTCGATACCAAAAGAGCTTGCTACAATGATACTAATCTGACTTTCGGACCTTTTTGTTATATTTACGATTTGATGCAACAAATGGTAGAAATCAATAGACTCTGAAGGATCGTCCAGAAGATCATGCAACCAGTGGACAACCTGAAGTATAAGCGTGAGTCCTATCGTATTTAACTGATTCAGGAAGGGAGAAGCACTTACTTTCGCATGGCAGGCAAATTCGGTATCTTGAAAGGTCTTCGCATCGCCATATCTGGTCTTTTACTGCTGGCTTTGATGTGCATTTGGATGATTGAACAAGTTCCCGAGAGCCACGAGGTATGGCCATTCAACATTACCTTCAAGAGCTCAGGTTTAAGCGCCACCTCAAACAAATTCTGTGTGAGAGTACACAACCACTTTGAGACTTGGTTTGAGATAATCGCGCCCCCAACTCTGTGCAAGGAAGTGGTTCAAAGTCTGCTGGTGATATTATATGTGGCTATTTACTTTTTGTAATCACTGGAATGAGATAGGTTCGGAATGATAATTTAGCTAGTGTAACATTGAAGCGCAACATGAAGATAACTTGCTCAGGCCCTGATTTAAAGGTGAGGTATTTAGATTCCAAGGAACGGATGTTATCATCCTCTTTTGCACAATTCCACTCGAAGGATGGTAGATCGCTGGAGTAGCATCTTGCATCAATCTGTAGTGCGAACTCGGTAATATTTCCTCCTTGATGTGCTACAAAAATATAAAGATTGTTGGTCTTATGACAGTATACCATTCGACGGCAACAGCTCACCTGGCGCATCTCTGCCATCTGTTTGCCGACAACTCTAACGGCGGCTGTTGGTCCACATGTTGTTGAAGATACTTTGTACTTGAACTTGAATCTAAAGACCCGTCAGGCATGAAAGGCACACATTTTTCAGTGTTGACAGGTCTCGAGCATATGCGCTTCCAATTTCCTCACTTTCTCTATTTCGAGGCTTTCTCAAGCCTCGGTTGTCGACAACCGCGAGCTGTACTCATCTTCAGGGACAGGTCCATGAGATGCGTGCGGAGACTATTCCGCGAGCCTTGAGATTATTTTACTCGCGTTAGCTGCGCTTTAGACAGATCACTCATCTGGATATCCCAATGACTATCTAACACAAAAGTTATCGCGGTAGTTTGTACCATCATGCCTGCCTTATTATAATATTATCATCGATGATGATTCACCCCGAGTTTGATTTTAACCGAGTATACGCTTAGACTTCCTTCTACATAGTACCACTAACCGCCGAGCTTGGGCTAATGTCTTCTGTCGTGACTTCAGTCTTGGCGGGGTCAATGGGCACAAGCTCCCAACCCTTCCAACCTTTTTTCGGACCCACTGTTGCACAACAAACATGTAACAAGCATGTGAGCCACAAGCATCCACTAAAAGAAAATGTGGACTATTCGAAAGTTGAGATGATGGTGTTGTATCTTTATAAATTCCATGCTTGTAATTCTAGCATTTCCACATCTACCGTTTTGTTGTATTTTCCAACAGATGCGATGATTGGATGCGATGGAAGAAGGGGCCAAGACAACAGAATTAGTGAGAATCAGAACCCGCTTGTGTAGATCCCCGTAAGAAGGACCGTATGTGCATATCCCACGCTTGAACAGAACATCGGAGTCTTGGCCTTTCAAGATATTTCGAATCACAACGAGACTCTGAGCGAATATCAACTTGCATTACTCATCCCTCCAAGACCGAAATATGTCAAAAGATTTGAACTATCTTCGATTCGACCGGCCAAAGCCAGCCAGATACCACCGATTTCCACCGCGAAGCCCCAATTCCTCGAAAGAGATGTATAGAAGCTCACCGGACATAGAGGAACTGTCAAGAATAGAGATTGAGGATGTTTTAGCAGAAATAAGAACATTGAAACAGAAGATTGAGATCATCGAGCATGGCGTTCAAAGCAATGGTGCTTTGTCTGATCAGATGAACGACATGCAAGTTGGATTGGAGAGCTTGCAAGATCGCCTGAAATATGACTCAAAACTTAACAAACAAATGGGCGTGATAGAATCGAAAATGAATGAGATGCAAAGGGAACTCGAGGTTCATTTCGAAGCGCATTCCACGACTGATTCGCAGCTGAGAGCCAGCTTAAACATGATGGCAGGTGTGTCAGAATCCTTTATGGCTCCCCTTGACAGCTCGCTGAAGTCAATACGAAATTGCTAGCGCATCGCAGATGCTTCAAGCAGGAGCCAACCTCGCACAATCGTGGATTTGATACTACAGATTTTGATGACGTACCTAGGATATTAATGGACTTATCCGTATTCCACAAAAACATAAGTTCTTGGTTAAAAAATGTCAAAGGTGATTCAAACACAAGTTTTCTTTGTATTTATCCATGAATTGACAAGACGTAATCAACAGAACGTGACGCAACTCTACTACAGCTGGTACTTTTACATGAACGGGACTGGTCAGGGTTGAAACACGAGGTGATGGAACTCCTACAGGATGCCAAAGGTAAAGGGAATTCGTATATATTTATGAACCGTGGGAAATCCAAAACCTGATAGCAGTGTGTTTCAATTGTGGTGCTAAGAGGATCGTGCCCGTGCTTCAACTGAGCGCGAAGCAAGTCAGGAATCATTGGAGATTATGCATTCAACCATGTCAACATGTCTTCATACTCCATGTACACATAGACTGCCCGCTGAAATAATGGAGAGATCTTGGAATCAACCACTCAATAATAGTTTGCTCAAGAGTTCTTGTGTCATATTTCTTTATCTCACAGTTGCTTTGCTTGTAGCAGTTAATATACATTTGATATTCCGGATCAATGACTTGTACTCCACAGATGCTGATTGTCATGTCAAATACTTAAGGAGTCTATATATGTAATACTATATCCCTGCTCTTTCCTTTACAACTGCATTCCCACTGATATATAACAGAGAGCAAATGGGTGGTGGGCCAAATGGCTTCATCCCATCTCCTAGCTTTTTGTTCATCCAGTCGTATATGAAAAACAAAGAGGATAACAAGTAGGGAAGAACAAGAAGAAAGATTAGAAAACTATGTAGAAGGTCAACCGGAATGTGAGAATCGGTTTGTCCAATGCGGTCAAATATACAAAGATCTTGTAATTTAATAGGCATGTCTGAAATGCTTGTGTGGTAGGTAACTGAAAGTACAGGTATCATTGCCACTCCAGCTCTGTCTTCAATATCTCATTGTGTGGAGGTACAAACAAATAAAAAGTGCATGGAAGGCAGGTGGTTTGCCAAATATAATAATGATATGCGTCATTATGCAATGGATAAAACCAGTTGATTCATCAATACTTGAACCAAACTGGTTCAGTTTGTGCGCGTATTCCACCTAGCCCAATAAATGACAGAAAGTATGGTGTAAGTAAAATTCTGCGAGAGCAATATTATAAGACTCACGACCTATGCCGACGTGGTGATTAGGCATCGAGATGGCATGTTCTTGAATAGCCGTCGCCGCTATGGACAAAACATATTTTCATGAGCCTTTGCCTGAAGAATGATTGTCACCCAATCACGTTGGCTTACCTCCTTCTTCGTCCAAAGTTAAGTCTATGTAAACGGGGTGGTTTTCGTTCTGAGAGGTTCCTTGTGTGGTGTCGAAGGCAGCTTCGGGCGCCTCGGCAGGAGCTTGGCTCGCCTTGGTGGGAGCTGTCGCCTCGGTGGTAGGTTGACTGGAGGCAGATTGATTTGAGGCTGGGATACAGCCGGCTGTCAACCTTGAGTATGCAATGGATCAGTCAATGACAGGAACTTACCAGCTTCCTCAATGGAGCGGAGGAGGTCGAGATCGTCCGACGACAGGTTCAAAGGTGCTTCCAGCGCTGTGTGGAGACGGCGAGGTTCAGTCCTTGTTTCCCTTCAGGTGTATTATTAGTTTGATGAGCGTACCTTCTTCGGTAGCCAGAGCTGCAAGCTCTGCGTCTGTCATGCGCAACTTGCACTTTGTGTAGGTCTTTCCGTTGATCGATCGGCGCCAATCTCCGTAAGGCGGTGCATGAGGGAAGGGATTGGTGCTGATACATGGTCTTACGTGGCCAAACTCGGCACAATCGAGGCACTGGTCCATTCCGGCACGAATGGACGGGTGGGATTTGTGGTTTATATCCCATCTGAAGATTTCAGATTTCGAGCGTGGATCAAGGTTGTTGAACCAAGTGAGCTCTTTGGGTGTGGGGTGCTCCCACCACCGGGGACGAGGAGGGAACAACATGAATAACGTAAGAGGGGAATCAAAGGAAACGTAGTTGAATAGCTTGTTGGGATGATGGATGTTGGAAATTGGATGTTGGAAATACCGAAGGAAGAAGGACCTTTTATGAAGGTGCTCTCCTCTTCACTCGCGTCGCGTGGAACAACATCAACATCATTCATGTTCCCTTTTCCCGTTAAGATATCATGCAAGACGATATCTTAACAGGAAACGCTTATCTCTTAGGAAGCGCAAGAAGCATGCTTATCCTCACGCCAAGTGATCCTCGCGACTCATATCGTACCTTTTGCCAACTTCGTGGCTTGGCCCGCGATACATACACACATATTTATTAGCATGATTTTTCACGAATTGAAAAGAACGTAAAGGAAAGGTAGTTCGAAAAATTCTCGGCCCCCCATTCATCGCACTCCTTTTTGGATATCCAAAAGTGCTTCAGAGATGTAATCGCGCTTACTTGTAACCTCAGCATAATAAGTTGGATTTGGTCGCGTAGTTTGACAATATTCTGATATCATCCACTTTGAGAAACCCAGGGCAACGCTTTTTTGGGATATTGAAAGGGAAGTATTTCCAATACACAAGTCAAAAAAAGGTACAAGTTACACATCAAGACCACATCACCTGACAATATCAAACTCATAATCAGACCCAACTGATCCTCATTGGCACTTGAAAATTTATGGGGAGTTTAAATCGCTCTTGCCACTGAGATCACCAACTAACTTCTAATGCTCAGTGAATTGGACATTGGTATATCTGAGCCATATTATTTTTTAAAAGTCTTTGCAAACCTAGATAAGATCATATGAAAATTGTGCTAGGTTCAACATACAAAACTTCATCATATGTTTAGTTGGAGTTGAGGATATCAGACTGAAATATTCCCAGAGAGTGAGGTCCTATATATAAGGCACTTGAATCCACCTTGTATCACAGTTAGAAATGAGATAACTGGATTGTTCCCTCATCCGTTATTCCATTTAAATTCTTTTGTTATCAAATTTCACTATCAATAAAATCTTCTAAGCACCACCAAGTATTTTTGACTGTTACCAACAAGTGCCCCATCAACCATCAAAAACCTTTTGAAGAATTTAGTGAATTTCTCTTAAAAACCATCCCGCCCTCCCTAATTTAAGATAACAGCTTGGAAATTGTGACCAAGATCCAAACTGTCAAGGTTGTTGGGGTATATTAAACCTTAACCAGAGATTTTATATTATAGTTTAAGAATCAAATCTTCTTTGGATTCTCTCGAATGTGTTCTTAGAAACTCCGAGTCATTTCGAATAGTCTCATCCAGAGATATCTCTCCAGTATACATATAGCTCATAGAGCTCTTCAGTCGTATCGACTGGAATAATGGTTTGCGAATATTACTTCAATTCTAATAAAATGGTATAAAAATTATTCGTAAAACTATTAGAGAGATTCCAAGTGGATTAGGTGAGACATGGACATGTTAAAGATTTTTAAGTAATTTCCAGATTGACCTGGTTCGGGCATGCCCTCGTAGTCTTTAGTATACACAAATGGACTGACACCCGGCCCCGTGTAGCCTCAGGAGTCAGGCCACACAACAAGATGTCATTCAGACCTTGCGGTTGTCGACAACCGAAACCTTCGTTCTTGTCCTGTTTGTCCATACAGAACAAGACCAAAGCGTGCGCTGACGGCGAGGAACTGATTTCGACTCGTCAGATGGAATCTTCCGATCTCCAAGCTATCCTGCAGGACAAAGGAACACGGAAACGATATTTACCGCTGGTTCAAAACGGGGTGGAAATAACATTGGAATTTACGAAGGTCTGCGAGTATTACCATAAGATGGGTTCTGATGGACAAACGTGGCGGTTCGTTTGTGGTGCCCGCGGTCGCTTGTGGCCGTTTGTATTGCCAGTGGGGATGTCCCAAGCAGTCTTCTCATCAATTCTCCCGGTGGGTCTGAAAGGCGATCATGCTAACAAAAGGAAGAATAGCGGTGAGGACAAACAACCCTGCGATGTTCTTATTACCAGCTTCAACTGATAGATCTCTCCTTATTGGTTGAATACTTCACTCTCTTGCTCCAGAACTCCAGAATTTCAGCCGACAATGAAGACAAGATCAAGTAAATCTACCTCCACAATCCAAGAGTCTCACATGAATTCCCCTGTTGTAAAAGCGGAACCTTCAACTCCAAAAGAGGTCTTAGTATCTCGAAAAAGGCCATCCACCGGTACCAGCTATCAACCTGACAATGATGGTCATCAGCACGTAGGGAACCGACCCCGCTTATCCTCGCCCACTTCGAACTTTCAAGCTCGACTAGATCGCCTTCAAAAAAAGGTCAAAGATCTTGCTGACAGCGTCAAGGAATGTGCTGAGCAAGCAGAAGAGGTTAGTTGATGAGGACCGAGAATATATGCATCTGTTGACGATTTGGGATTGCCTCACCAGCTCGAAGTCGCTAGAACTGTTCTCGAAGAGAAACTTGTCGACGATGAGGAGAAATCGTCCAAATTAGCTACCAAACAAATTCAACGGGAGCTACGTAAGGAGATCATCCCTAACATCACCTCTCTGAATGAACAAGTGTGTTTCTACTTTATTGTGTGTATTGCTATGACAAGGGAATTGACGTCTCCAAACCCCTCAAACCGATGTAATCTAGATCGCGACTCTCAAGGGTGATTTGAGCAACAGGCTGGATCTTGGTCGTCAGGTCAAGGAGGTGAGAGCGTTGGATCCTGATATGGTCTGTGGCTCTCAGAATTATGACTAATTTGCTACTTTTCCCGGGCTCCAGATTCAGGAACAGCTTCAAATACTCGAAGGTAGAATCGCACACGAACATGCACCCCCGGAGTTGTCCGCAAAGCAGATGGAAGAAATTTGTCAGGTGAGTGTTGTCGTGGTAATTAGTGTCAAGGACTTCCGGTAGCGTCGTGAACGGTCCTCAAGATCTAGATACTTAACGCTTTTTTTTTTAATGATGATTTATGTAGTCTAGAACAAGTTAGGATGAGTTGGGATAAATGTTGGTTATGAAGTGATGGAAGTGGGTTTTATTGTGGTTACTTTGGGAATAAGTCGCATGTGACTTGAGTTACTGTTTTCTCTTTTTTATTTTTGTGTCACGCTTTTCCGGTCTATTCATAAATATATATACTCGTTGTTTTCTCCTTCAGATTCTTTTTCCTTAACGAAAAGAATCTGTAAGTTTCTCTCTAATAACATCAACCTTACTATATCATTCTAACTCGCTTTACTTTCTATTAGTTTGCTTTATCCTTTTACTCACTTTTCGCCTTTTACCTTACTCGAACCCTGTTGCTTGAGCACAGGTTTGTCTCGAAGTCTTTTAGCTTTGTTAGCTTGTGTGGCTTGTGCCGTTTTGCTTACGACTGAACCTGATTACCCAGGTATGCATACTTATAATGAACGAAAAGAATCTTTTGCTTTATCCTTTTACTCACTTTTCGCCTTTTACCTTACTCGAACCCTGTTGCTTGAGCACAGGTTTGTCTCGAAGTCTTTTAGCTTTGTTAGCTTGTGTGGCTTGTGCCGTTTTGCTTACGACTGAACCTGATTACCCAGGTTTGTCTCGAAGTCTTTTAGCTTTGTTAGCTTGTGTGGCTTGTGCCGTTTTGCTTACGACTGAACCTGATTACCCAGGTTTCCCTTACACCAACGGCTCAGCCAATACAAGCTCTGAAGCTCTTTACTTCGTTACTTTACAAGTGTTTTGTGTTCAATGAGCTTAGGGCAAGACTAATGTTCGGTTGTTTTAGTACATTAAACAGAAGATATCTTCATTGGCCAATGATAAAACCCTGAATGTCAAGCAATCCGCCACTCCAGCTGCTGGGAAAGTGTCCTTGGATATGGGTAAGGCTTGCGAGATAAGAGGTGCACTTCAAAATATGCACAAGACTTTTGATGAAATGATTCAGCATGTCTTGCAATCGGAGGAAGGAGGGCATGGTGTCAACAACTGAGCCCTTATCTTACTTTTTCTCAACATAGACAACCTGTGTTGAAGTGTATGGGTTTATGGGTGTCGCTGTGTTTGTTTGCCTTATTGGGTTTCCCAGTGTATGTTGAAAAGTGTGTGACTCAGCTGAATAAATCAGATTTTCATCAAATTTTCACGCTCAATGTGTCCTGGTCCATATATCCATACAACAGTTCCGAATTTCCACCATTCTATCATCTAAATGCGCCGTGTTTTATGTTAACAACGTTTCGCTTGATCTGTTGAACTTGTACAATGCTTTGCCCTTTATTCTTATATCTTCATCCCACCATCATTCTCAACGTGTGTTATCCACTTCGTCTACTCATATTATCCTGGCTCAAACGTCGAAAAGTACTATCACAGTCCGCGATGTCAATTCAGACCATAAGGATCGAAGAAAGCAATCGGTTCGAACACACGCCCCGGACTGGTTTCATATCACTGTGCGCGTAGACTCGTGTTTCAACGACTCATTGTACTTGGACCGCTTTCCTTCATGAGCCAATGTTTGGTATGCTTCCAACAGCTATCAAGTTGGATTCATCGTCGGCAAGAAAGTACATATTTGAAGACGCAGTTACAAGGCCTGACCTGTTGCATTACACCCGTGTCGCCACCTCTGTCTGGATGGAACCAGCGGCTCCATTCCAGATAGCCTTTTCTGATCTCTTGTTTTGTTGCAGTGTGGGTTACGCCAAGTCGCTACACAGGAAGGAAAGTTTCGGTTAAAGTCTTATATAGCTTCATAGGCGCAAAGTAGCCTCACCTGGTAAAAGGAGAGTCGCGAGTTAAGTGGTTCAGCTATATTAGGGTGATAAACACCCGGGCTTCGAACTTGCGCGTGAAGTTTTGCCAGCCAAAGAAAATTTTTGTGGTGTTGCTCGATTGAAAGTGGCTTTCCGGGCAACCAAACTTCTTCCAAAAGTTTGGATGCTTCCTCAATTCTATCCATAGCTATGCAGGTTTCGGAGAGGGCCAGATGTATCCTTACAGCTACTTCCTTTGTTCTTTCTTCAGGGAGCATGGTAAATTGGTCGAGATACTTTAGCCCTTGCCTGAAAACTCCAGCAGCCTGTTCCGAGAGACCCTTTTTAACGTATTCATAGCCATACATGTAAAAGAGCTCGAGTGCTTCCGCAGGATGCTGTTCTCCTCGATTGTTAGTTTCCTCACACTGATTTTGAAGCCCGGAAGATCGGCAGTCATTTTCTCTACAAACGGAATGGTATGAAAAGCGGCGAGCAGATGTACGCACTTTATCTTTCGCGCCCGAACAACCTTCGAACTGCGCCTGTAATCTCGCGTATAGAAGTGACGTCTGGAAAAAGAGTGGATGGGTAGCCCCTATCGTAAATTTTCCATTAGGGCGCCAGAGATGTCCTAGGATCATTTCAGCTTCATGCAAACACTGTAGCTGCAAGTAGCACTCAGTGAGTTGTAAACACATTTGCACTGTAGCATTGTTTTGAAAGCCGTTCTTTGCTGATGACTCTAATTCACAGGAATTCAAGAGCTCTTGATATATCCTAGCTGCCGCTGCATAGTCTCCCCTCTCGAAAGCTTCAGATGCTTCTTCACATTGGGCTGACCGAAAATTTGATCCGGATTGCATGTCTCGAATTCTGGATTTCTAAACCATTCCGTGGTCATCAGATAATTGATTAGTAAGTAGGATGGTATCTCGTCACTTAGTAAAACCTCGATGACTAACAATGTGGAGATATCTGTATGATTTGTTCGCAGTAAACTCTCCTCCAACAACCTCCACATCTTGAGCTTCAACTTCCGCAACGTTCAATGAGTCGAATTTTCGGCGGATCGGCCTTCGAGCGTCATTGTCCGGGGGAATATTCTGGGAAAGCATATTACACGCGCGTTTAATCTTTTAATCAATATAAGGGAGCTTTTCGTAGTTAACCAGGTGTAGTTTAAATTTAGGGACAGCGTGGCAAGAATATCATGTCTTCATGAGGACTTCAAGTATCATGTCATTTTGAGGACTTGGGAACTTGTTACTGCGGCCAACTGAGCACACCTGATCATGACTTTTCGAAGATATGAGAAGTTGTTTACATCTCACGCTGAGCATATCATAGTTGAGCAAAGCCGCCCCAATGAAGGAATAGGCGAGGGTGCTTGATCATAGCATGCATCCCATCAGAGGAGCAGTTAATGGCTGATCTCCATTACAGTTATGATACTGAGCAAGTTTCAATGCTGCGCCGCGAGACGCGTCGTATGTGTCTATGTGTAATCCTTTGGTGGTGTAACAGATATAGGGGACTTTGGACAAAGGTGAGGTAAAAAGCTCAGACACGAGCCTCACCAGGCACCAACTACATAGCAAGTGTCACCTATATCTTCCTAGTAAAGTTGACCGAAATCATCATCATATCCACACCATGTCTCCACTCAGTGAAGAATTCTTGAATTTTCAGTCTGCATTCGACAGTCTGCGTGAACCCGAACAGAAGGTCGAGCAAGAATCTGGCCAAACTCCACTCCCACTCCAAAACGTGCTTTCAAATTCTCGAGTTCAATTCAAACCCATGCTATCTGATGATCTTTGCACTCAAGTCAACTTACCAAGGGTCGGTCCCAAGCTAAGGAACAAATGGGTGATCTGGTCACTAGGACCTATCATTTTATTATGTGCTTGGTTGATGACACAGACCACGAGGTGAGATAGCTCCCTTCGCCTCGATTTTTCATCATCAAACTGATGTAGTGGCTTATAACTTTGTCGACGGCAGTACCAAGAGGGAGTCCTCCACGACCGCGGAGACAATCTTTGATGTAAGATCTCAGCTGAAAGGAGTCAGCTTTGGTTCTTCGGATGGCAGTCATCACGCAAATCACCACGCAAATTCTATTTCAATCACAATTCTCGACTCTATAAAGGACCTTCAAGATCATGCGAGTCTTTCCCCACTCGACTCATCCCTGCCACAGGAAGTTTCTAACGTCTTAGAGAGTCAACCCAACGTCCAAAACTCCACTGTTACCGCGAAACATCTTCGAGATCTTACTGCTTTGATTGAGTGCGTTTACGACTCTTTGCGCCAGCTGGATGGAAGAGGTGCCACTGAAATACGGGTTCTGATGGAGGAGGTTAGCAATTCCAACTATATCACGATGTACGGCTTTGTTAACTCCTAAACTTAGTTTTCTTGGGTGAGAAATATGGAAGCTGCGGAGTACACAGATACATTCATAAGGAACATGTTTGATCACCAACGCAAAACCTTCACCGTTCTCTACACTCTTGCAGAAAGTACTTTAGCTGTCATTCACACTACGCACCTGAAAAACGAACTAGTCCAGCAGGCATTTTTCAGGCTCGATCGATGGCTGAGACTCCACCTGGAACAACCCTCTGGCCTCCGAATTTTCAATGGACGCAACTATGAAGCATTAAGGCCTTTGCTGAAGATAGTCTGCTCAATTATTGAGCACACCAGAGTGGTCAGACAATATCTGGAAAGGAGTAGGCTTGTACTAAAACTGTACCTCGATAATTCAAAGTCTTGGCTTGTAAGTGATTACGCTGTGAAACTCAGAGGGTTGCCTTTTTCCTGATGACCACACTCTACAGGATACTATCTCTAGTCGTGGGGTTTCCAATAAACCAGACAAAATTCCAATGATTCAGTGTGTTCTTGCTCTGCATGCACTACACACTGAGTTAATTCATCGTCACCTCATTCCCGGCATGAAGATGGGCAAGACAATCGAAGACGTTTCTATCTTGTAGTTTTCCCTTTCCCATTTCTGAAGTGTTTTTTGATTTTCCAATTGTTTGCTCCATCTTTTGCCACATTCATATTATCTTTCAGTTTCATCTAACAGGTAGTTTTAAAGTGAATTCACGTTGGGAATAGAAACAAGTGTTATAAGCCCTTCCTTTTTTTGTCCATTTTGTCGGTATCAATTGGAGATGCGCTTCGAGGAATTGTATGCACCGCGCGTTCAGGAATCAGAAAATAGTAGAGTAAGAAGGAGGCTATTTGGTGATAGCAGCTATGGAGAGAAAGCCCGAAGCAAGTCAGGTGAACTATTATGAGAGGTGGGATGATGCCAGATGGTCGTGGCCGTGCTCACAAAGAAACAAAGGCTGTCTTCTATAACTTGCATGTATATTTTGGTTCCTTATCTTATTGGTCTTTAAAATATTGACATAGCAATCAGCAATTGGAAAGTGAGCTCATCAAAGTTCCTTGTCGTCAAAACAGCTTTTCCCCTTATGAATGTCATATCAACGTCACACCATCAGATCTGAACAAGGGTGTAGGGAGCACGTTGTGAAATGAGCCGACCTAAGTCTTAAGTCGACTCATGATACATACTGAACATACAACTTCAAGGCAGCGTTGACATTCGTCATCAACATGTGACAGACCCGCGAAATTCGCACCGAACCGTCCGCAACGTCACGGTTGTCGACAACCGCAACCACTTTCGAAACCTGAGTTATCGCGAGACCTTTTTGCCATCACGTGAAAAGTATCTCTATCAAAACGACTTTCAACCCGAGAGTTTTGTCACTCTTCTTCGCTGTTCCGACGACCTCTCACGCTACTTTCTCAGCTACTTTGAATCACTTTCACCTGTCAGCGTTCTTTAGCCTCAATCTGACACTACTATATAAGTAAACCCCACCTCATAACCGGTCGTCAAATATAAATATATGTTCTCCCTTGCTCAACTACCATTCAGCAATTATCCTCAACAACCACTAGCTGTGGTGAGTGGTGTTTGAGTAGTCTGTCTCGATCCATCACTAATGTTTTTCAATTCGACTCCATACTCAGATCCTTCTTTCGGACCGTCCGTGACTTCCTGGAAGAATTCACAAGCCACTTATATTGGTTAGTGCACTTTGCTTAATTTCATTATTCGGATCACTTATGTTTTTGTCATCTTAAGTCTGAGAAACAGACACTTCTGTCAATTCATTGCTTCCTAGATCGAAACATCAGTGGGTACTCTTTCTATAACGCCGTTTTTTGTGAGTCGGGTTGTTGCCACCCTCTTTTGACCAATGTACTTTCCTTATCATTGGTCTTCTTTCGTGTGATCATCAGCAAGTTCCGTGAAACTGCTTGTTACTCCTCCAAAAACCCGCTTCCCGCTTCCTTGGTCATTGGTAAGGGCAATTCTCTCATGCGACTTCCCTTTCACATTGTATTCATTGCCATCCTTCTTTCATTCTTTGAAGTCTGGGTCCCCGATCGTTTATCAGACCCTCTTGCTTGATCACTAGCTTCTATACATAACTCCTCTGCATCCGTGAGTGATATGTGATCCCTTCTGCTTTCCACTCATTACTTTCTCCATCGATGACTGACGATCAAAAAATTTCGTCGAATCTTAACCAACTTCCTCAGCAACGCCTGCAAACAATGACCTTTTCTTCTCAACAAACTACGGATCACGCAGAACTTTAAAAGTATCTCACCACATCACCAGACTGACAACGATGCAAGAAGACCAACCTAACAGAATTCGATCGTACTTATACGAGCTGGATCTGATTTCGGAATTCACGGAAGAATGGTTGCGTGGTACAGATATGACATATCACCTACATTCCGCCTTGGTAGCCGTTTGGAAGGTCGTTGAAATGGACATGAAGAGTATGTTCAGTTGCTTATTTTCCCTTCATGTTTATCCTAGAATTTTTGATTATAACTCTGTCTGTACACATAGGCATTCGAAAAGGTCTCTTAACACCCAAAGATCTCTTTGCCCCAAATGTAGACACATCTCCCTGGACCAACGAAGACCCAGAACCCATCAAAGCTCAGGAACCCCCAATGGACTCCCCTCGGGACGAGTCTGTCAACGACAACGGGAAGCGGAGGATGCCTGACAATGACCATCACAGTGCGCCAAAGCCCCGCCGATCTGCACGTCTGTCTGCGCCCAACAAAAGACACGTCGACGTTGCTGAAGACGGTTCAAACTACAATTCTCAATCCTCAATTCGCCCCCTCAAGCGAAAACATGCCAAGGTGGATACACCTTTGCAACCACAGCCTGCCCGTCGAAACTTCAGAACGCCAGAACCGAACACTCCCCGAGTACGTTTGCGCAAGATGTCACCGGAAATGGCTGCCGTGATTGAGGAGATCCAGCGACTTGACGCTCTCCCTTCGTCCATTTCCATTGGTTCACCTTCTGATTTTATAGCGTCGAAGATAAGATTTCCTTGTCAATTCCCGCCCGCCACTGATTACAGCCAAGGCGAACTCTGGGAAAATATCGACAGTGAATTCCTCAACATGATGGGTGCTGATGTATTGATGCGAGGCGACTTGCGCCGTGGACCATTTGGCACTCTAGGCATCGTAGAGTGGATTCTGGACGCACGCGAGTATGCCGGCTGGGACGAAGCATGCGAGGAGGCGATTTTAGGGAAGTTCGCAACCTTGCGCGATAAGCTTTCTGAAGTGTTACTTCAGCCAGACGACGCGCCTGCCTCGACTTCTCTTCCCACAACCGCAGAACATACTCCAGACTCGCCTGATAACTCTTCTGCCGCAAACTCTCATGCTGCAACCGCAGAACATCGTCAAGAACTTGACGCGTCACTTCAATCAGAAAAGGTTTCTTCGCACAACTCCATCCTCCAATCGCCAGCAAATTCTACGGCCACATTGGTCGAGAATCAATCATCTCCGAGCCCCCATCCTCGAAATGAATCTCCTTCCCCTGTCAACGTAAACGGCCGACGAATCCTACGATTATCGAAAGCCGCTAGGTCAAGATTGATCGGCCGTGAACCATCTCCAACAGCTTTGGCAAACAGAACCTATCACCCTGGCTTGTACGGGCCAATCCGACATTCTATGAAACCACGTATTAAACCACGTCCCTCTCTCGATATTGAAGACTTCCAACAAAATTCCACTTCATCGAATGCCTCCAGTGAAAGGTTGGTCGGAGTAATGATTCCTCACGTCAAGGTACCATCCGCCTCCATACGTGACAGCAATTCGGGTTCGGGAAGAACACCAGGTTCTCTGATGTCCAATTCAGAAGGGCCCCATTCGCCGCACCACGCAGCTTCGCGACTTCACAGACAGCAGCTGTTGATTGAAGGACCACGATATCCAACGCCAGAAACTAACAATACCGGGCCGAAAGAAACGTCAGCTCTCACCATACTCAACTCCGGATCCAGACCCGAGTGCCAACTCAACACTCCTAGACAACAAATCTCGATTGAAGGACCAAAACAACCAAACAAAAATCACGACATGGCTAATTCACTGGAATCTCTTGATGGTGAGGTTTCCTTGCTTCATCGATTCATAGTGATTGCTTACCTCACAACTTCTTTCAGGTCCGTCTACCACAAATAATCCGCTCCAAGACGTGGACGAGGCTCTCACTGACCAAACACTCGCAGAAGGTCACAATGGTGTATCAAACAGCGATGGAAAGTTGCAAATGTCAGTCTAAAAAGTAGCCCAGATCATACGATGCTTAAACTCACATCATCTTGAAATCCCAGGCATGGTGCGGTGAGCGGTGCTCAGAAGACAAAACTTCCAGAATTACCCTCAACACCTGATCATTCGTACGTGACCGCTCGGTCCAGATCCCCCCGCGAAAGCTTACCAGCATCATCCAACCCCTCTCCTCAACTTCCAAGGAAACATTCCGATGCGACTCGGTCAATAGCATCAGGTGATGCTAAGGTTTTCTTGCTCCTGTGAAGGATAACGCTCATCTAGCTCACATGTATCGTTCTTTTAGATCGGTTGACCCCATCCGGGTTGTTACCCGGCGTGAATGATGCGAATAGAAAGTCCATGTCTCCCACTGGGCAAACACTCGAACCAGGTCACAATGATGTATCAAACGGTGATGGACTGTCGCCAATGTGAGTGAAGAGAGTAGACTCTATCCAATGGTGCTGAAACTTACGCCATTGTGAAATCCCAGTCATGGTACCATGAGCGGTGACCAAAATAAAAAAAAATCGGATGCAACTGGTCAATCAAACGTTACCATCTCAACTATCACCCCCCGCGGCAGCTTGCCATCATCACCCAACCCCTTCCCATCAGTTTCTGTGGTCGATATCTCATCCCACCATTCCAGGACCTGTTCTCAACCGCGACCGCTTGCCAAAGGTTCTCTGTGGGTACACAAAATCGACATATACCAAAGTATATCCGTCGAAAAGAACAACATGCAGTCAGCTGAACTCTTGGAGATCCATAAGGCCACACAGGTTTTATTGGAGAGTTTGATACGAGGGTCAACTACCAACTTTGACCCCGGCGAAGCACTGTCCCAGCCTGTTACGTTCAGCACCTCGGGACAACCCAGCATCCGACCGTGGTGCGAAAGACCAGAGAGTTGGTGTACTTCACTGCACTCCTCAAATCTATCATACTGACAACCTTTATCATACTTTAGATCGGGCACTTTTCACTCCTGGTCTGGAAACCCTTTGGTTCGAGCCCAAGATATTCGATTTCGAAGCCATTGGCAATTCCGACCCTCCAGATTCACTCCCCACACATGAGCGTTATCTTTGGAACACACTTAAAATGTTTCATATGCCTAGTGCCACTTTAATTGAACGTGGAATGCACTACGTCTTGGCGTCACTTGTATTGATTGGATCTGATGCCGAGCAGCCGCGTTACTCTCCCGAACTTCCCGACATTTCGCCTCTATCTGCAGGAGCTCGTAGTGCTTATTCGTGCTGGCACCACTACAAGACCCTTTCATCCTTTCGTTGGGCAAATATCGGAGCGAAACGAGCTGAATCAGCTGATGGGTGCATTGAAGATCTCGACAAGCTGATTGCAACAATCTACACGATGGTGGAGACATTTGCTAGTATATGGGCAACTACATCTCTCAAGGCCGACATTGCAGCAACCGAAGAACTAATCAAGAGGAGTACTTCTTCCGAAACTATCAATTCCCTGACTTCGAACAAGGAACAGCTGAAGAACGCTTTTAATCAAATCAAAGTCGAATATTGTAACCTACCAGCCCTTGTGGCCTTTCTATCTTCTGGCGTCAAGGGATTAATGATATATCCCACCGACATACGAGCATATACTCCTCTACGGGCCGTAAACTTTCTATTGGTGACCAGCCACTTATCTCAGCGCAATGAAACGATCTCGGAGCCAATATGGAAGAGGACCCAATCATATATAGTTGGCTTTTTGAAAGCTGTCATCCAATCAACAGAAAAATGGGTACCTCAAGAATTGAATCGATACCACCTAGCCAAGGCTGTCTTCCTCGATTTCTCGGACTATCATATCTCACGGAATATGACAGAAATTCCCATTCCCAAGGCAAGAAACTACAAGGTACAGTCCAAATCATACTCCTGAACCATAGTTCAGATACGTATTTTATTTGCACTTCTTGTTGTTTTTGTTGGCCCTCGTCACTCGGGAAATTTCAGAGCTATATTTTCAGCTGCTGCCCATTTCGGCACCCTGGGTTGATAGCCTACTATGGTATGACTACTGTTGCATGTGCGCTGTGTAAGCATGCTTCCAAATTAAAGAGGCACATGTAGACGTCAGAGTTCTAAGCACCAGGTGAACTGTTGCATGATATTCTGTGAAACGCGAGGGATGTACTGTGAAATAAAATAAGATTAAGGCATCACTCTAGGTCGTAACAAAAAATATACATCATGACATCTTAGGTGTGCCAGTCTCCTCACTTTTATTGTGTTTGGATAGTGAAGCGGCTCGCACCTTTTTCCCAAACGACCACAAGAGGTTGTGATATCTTCTATAATCCGTTTGTGGGTGTATAAAGGTGCTCGTGCGTGCTTGCTGAGTTTTGTATTGAGGTGGGAGTTTTGCACATTTAAATGAGTATTCTTAACAGCCTTTCCATTTGATAGGCAAAGAGTATCAAACAAAGATAGACTCAGTAATGTAATCAGGTAGGAAATTGCAACTTCAATCATGAAGGTAAGACCCCCAATACAAACATTGCAGAAGTCTGCATAGCTTTACTGCCCTAACCTTCACGTTTGATTTTGTCATGTTGATTTAACGTCTAATTCGATCATAAATTTTTGCTTGTAAATGTGATCTGCAATCATTTCGATTGGCTTTCAATTAAAGTTAATCCGTAATTTTCAAAAAAAGACTGGAGCAACAGAATGGTCACGAACCGCCAAAGTCATCTGCTCAACAATAATGTATGAGATAAATTTCAAAGAAAACAACTAAAAAAACCAAAACAAAGAACCATAATTATGATCACATTCGGATGCCATCCGATCTCATCCGATCATACTCATAAAAGTGATCCGATCACATTCAAAGATGCAAAGCAAATAGATGAACAAATAAGTCATTGTTCTTGAGATCCCTCACGAGCATTAGTTTCGTCATCCTCTGCCTCCTCCATCAATCTGTCCTCGGGAGTGTCTTGGCAGTATTTGCAGTAACCGGATTCCCAAAGGCCATGGTAGGCATAGCAGAAAGGGCGACGTCGGTTTGTAACAGAGTCATAGCTACCGCATTCTGATGGTGCCTCCGGTATATCCATCATTGAAGGCCCCAATTCAGACTTGAGGAAATTGATAACCGCCTCCACCTCCTCAGGTTCGGCACTAGAGAACCGTCTTTCTGTTTGAATACACCGGTAGGGCGGCATCAAGGTCAGGATAGAATTTCCAAACATATAATGAAAATGAAATGTACCAGGTATGTTTTCCACTTGGGAATCCAGGTAAGCCTGATAGGCTTCCAGTTCCTCAGGATCTGGACTGGCTGGATGTGTTGAAAAGCAGAAGTAATTAGAAATTAATTGATAGAGAAAGAATTTGAAAAAGAATTCTTACCAGGGGTGCATTCCTCTTTGGAAGCTATGTATTCCTGATAAGCCTCCAGTTCATCAGGACCTGGGCTGGCTGGATGTGGTGACAGGCAGAATGATTTAGAAATGAAATAAATTGATAAATGGAGGAGTTGAAAATAAACAATAAATCTTACCCTGTTTTTTTTCCACGGGTTGATCATTTCCCTTTATAGAAATACCAGTTTTTGGAGGCATGGTGAATGTGAATAAGACGGTGAATGTGTTTAATGATTTGAGCGAGAGCAGTGTAAAGATTGGCGCCTTTAACCTACCGCCTTTATATGTTGAGGTTGAGGAAAGTTCGAAAGGAACAAGTTATTCTCGTTTCGTTCGCGTATCATGTTCTTTTCAAAATGACTTGCCATCATTCCTTTGAAAAAAGATATCATAAATCAATCATTCGAATCCAATTATATTGCGGTGATATCGATCACGTTCGATATCGCCTCAGATTTACCTTTTGTATGTTGAGGTTGAGAGAAAATGAACAAGCTTAAATAAATCATCCAAATCCAATTATATTGCGGTGATATCGATCACGTTCGATATTGCCTCAGATTTACCTTTTGTATGTTGAGGTTGAGAGAAAATGAACAAGCTATTCATAAAACAGGGTTCGTGGTGTAGTTTTTGTTACCTATCAACCCAACTACATTTCAATACATGATGAAACATTTTGACCGATGTTGTCGCGACGCTATATGTATGCATACCGGGTCATCCGGATACAAGGCTATCCCGAAGGTGTCTATACGCCGTGCTGTGAGCTAATCCGAATCCCCGATGCTCACAACTTTCAAGTTCCAACGCTCTGCAACACCAATTTGTCAATCATCAAATGAACAATCAAGACAGCTTCGGGCGGCGAGTGGGTCTAGCCGTTCGAGAGGTGATACAGCAACTCACGAAGCGGAAAATCACTATACTGATTATGGCAGCGCTTTTGGTGCTTTTGAGTATGTAAACGGCCTGACACAAAGGAGTAATGCGCACAGATAAGACTGACTTCGACGCATCAATAGGAAACTCAATGCAACTGCAACGTATTCATAAGAGGTTTCATGACTTAGAGAGTCGACTCCGATGGGTTGAACAAAATTATGATATGCTGTCGAAAACGTTCCAGGAAGATGATTCCGTCTGGGAAGATGGTACGGACCTCAGTCTCATAAAGCTTGGTCTACGGATGGCAATCTGATGAAGCTTCGTCTACAGGTAACATTGCACGCTTTATCAAAACTTCCCAGGAAGTGAAGTTCATGGCCGAAGAATGCACAAAACAATGTATGAAAGATAGAAACTGGCGCCGCGATTTTGCATTCTTTAACACAGGTGGCGACATAATCTCAGATATCACATCAAAGTCCATGCAACCCGCCACAGATAGTCTTGGAATCAGAAGTCCAGTCGGCCCTGAGATGGCAATAAGTGGCGATGCATCCAGTGGCGCATGCTGGGCATTTCCGGGAGCAGTTGGTCAGATTGGAATTCGCTTACGTCGTCGGATCGTAGTTCAAGCGGTTACTATCGAGCATATTGGTGCAAAACTGGCACAGAATGAGATCGCATCAGCGCCCAAGGACTTCGAGTTATACGGGATCGAAGGAGATGGAGAAGATGCTGCTAATTTGTTGCTTCTCCAAGGTTTTTATAACATCACCGGCCCTTCAACAATGCAGACATTTGAAGTGAAAGAAGCGAATTTTCAGTCCGCTCATCAGAAAGTTGTGTTGAAAATAACTTCTAACCATGGAAACCCTGAATTCACCTGTCTATATCGGGTCAGGGTTCATGGAAAAGAAGCTTGATGTATATGAAGCTCAAGACTTTGATGAATATTTCTACAAAATCGACCGGAAATCTATCCTTTTCCGCCTATAAGGCTGCTCGGAATCATTGAGCCATCTTTCAACCAAGAGTCGTGCTATCAGGCGAAGATGTCATCAAGGCTGTAACCATCATTCAGAATGTTTTATATCATTGCAAATGTAAACATGAATACTTATTAGTCTGCGGGTACACAACAGCCCTGGGGATACCAGGGACAGGCTTCAATTGTTTTGTTTACAATTGGGGACAAGCATTTTGTGAATCCGCTCAGATGAATCACTTTCTGATGTGTCACTGTCACTAGAACACCGTTTGTGGTCTTGGTCTTTGTTGGTAGTCTTGTTTTCTGAGGACCTCAATGCAACCTCAACCCAACCCTTGAAAGCTACGTAGTTTTCCATGAACGCCTTCAATACCTTGATGAATTCTTCTCGGTCCTCCACCTTTGAGTACAAACAAGAAGTGTGTCAGATCAATCAAGTCAGATTGTATGTTAAGGTGAGATGAGAGATCTGGAAATGTATCACCTTTGTAACGGGCTTTGAGCGCACGAAATACAAGTCAAGTTGCTTTCCTATAGATCCAGATGTCAAGGCTGTTTTGCTCCGTATCGGTAAGGCGGATTTTAATTTGGCCCATGAGTTGCCTTGGCCTGGATCGGATTGGACTGGAGGGAATCTGGAAATTATCGAATGGATGTCCCCAGGTTTGAGATCTTCTGAATGTAGGAGTTTTTCACTTAAATGAGTCAAGGGCACAAGGCGTCTTTGAAATTCTTGCAAATGATTGGACATCAAATGAAGCTCCTCAGCCGAAATGCCCTCAGAAGAAATTTTTCTGGGAGTTTGTTTTATTTTTAAGCGTATCTGAGCTGCAGTTGGACATATGATTTGGGCGTCAACGTAGGCTTCCAGATTGGCAGAGCGCAGACTACATACATGGTTTGTGATGCATGACGTGTATTTTGGCTTCTTGCATCCCCTCGTCGAGTGATTCAAGTTCCATCAATTTTCTTTTTTTTTCCCGGACCTGCCGCGCATCTGAAGGAGAAAGCGACATCGAACTCCAAGAACCAGGTGAAATTATAAGTTTGGACGGGATTGGATTTGAAGCAAGTGAGATCAAGTCAAGCTCTATTCCTGGCGCTTTGAATGATGTTGTTTGCGTTAATATAGCGATTGAGCAGACTAGACCTGGCTCTCAACGATGTTTGAAAGCGATAGAAGTATTTTAATGTCCAAGTGTTTTGGGAATGGGGTGATGGTGATCAACAGCAAATTCCAGCTGAATCACAGGGGTTTATGTTCATTGGGTCAGTACGCTCATTTGTCAAACTTTTGAGTTGAGCTCACTCAGTAGAAAATTACTTAAAATGATCATTATGATCAGTGACACTGGAAAAGACTCAGTTGCTGAAGTTTGTCAAACTTCTGAGTTGAGCTCACTCAGTAGAAGTTTCCTCAAGATGATCAGTACCATCAGTGACCTTGAGCAGCACAGCAACTGAGCAGAGTTGAGCCTCATGAAGATTTGCTGTTGGCCTATTAATTGATAGGGAATTTCTATTCAGAAAGCTTCAGTTGCTCAGAGCAACAAAGGCCTTCACACTTTCTCAGCCTGCAGATGAAGAACAATGGGAAAAAGAAATACTGGATATAGAGGATTCAGGAAACACAATCAATGAAAATTTCAAAAGCAAAGAACCAAGGGATTGAAAGGGAGATAATTGGGTCAGCAGTGTCTTTAAATACAGTATGAGTTAGATGATATTGTGAAAAAACAGCTCAATTGCTCAATTAATCAGCGTAAATCAGAATTGCTCAATCAGCATTGAGCGGGTATAGGCTCATTATCTATTTATCACAATCAGTTAAGCTTAGATAGTATAGTCTGTGTGAGCCTCAGCCCAGTAATATATATTGAAATCAAAGTGGCTCAGCAATCAATTTGATCTTTTTCCAGCCTTAAAAGGGCCAGTCTTCAAAGTCATAGTGTGATGAACATATCTAGCACCCACATCAGCTGTTAATTCTATACTTTTACAATTTTCAATAGCCATATATCAGAAAACCGGGACCTCCAATGGAAATTATAAATCATAAAAGTGAGTATTCAGTATCTGAAATGATCATAAGAACCAAATATTGATTCTTTCAACTCTTCCATGGAAATTAGAAAAGCATATGAACCCTAATGTGGGTGAAGTTGCTGTGTCAAAGGATAGTTATTCACTAGCAGGTATGAATTCAATTGTCAAACCTTATTTCATCTTCCCAGCTGATCCCTCTATACCCAGCAAAAACCTGTAGAATATCTCAAGGGAGAAGGGGTAGAGATAATGAGACCTCTGATATTCTGGCCTTTATGGAATCTATATCAAGGGAAGACATCAAATTGACCTGTGACACTTGTGGGGATCACCAGAAGCAAACTGTGAATAAACCTCAATCACCAATGCCTTTAAGAAAGTTAGCTTGGACCGCCTATACTTTCTTATTACTAACCAGCTGGATAGTGAAGAAGATTAATTACACTTGTGATGTGTTGGATATTCCTCATGACAAATTTTCGCAACACATTTTCGTTTTTTCCTTTTCTCTCTCTTTGATTATGTGGGTGGCAGATAGCATGGAACTTACCCTATATATTCTTGTACTTTATGACATCACTAAATACTTGATCAAAGTCATCAATTGAAAACTTTTCACCACACTTAGATTGAATCACATTTGGAAATTTGAGTTCAATCACATGTTCAAATCTCAGATTGAATCACCTTTTGGAAATTTAGATTACATCACATGTTGAAGTGTTAGATTGCATCACATATAGAAATCTTAGATTGCATCACATGTACAAGAAGCCATGAGTGGGTTACATGGCTTTTTGTACATGTGATGTAAAGGGTTAAATCACACACATGTGTGTCATGCATCTTAATTTCAGCTATCTTGCATCACATGGGTTTACATCACAAGTTTTTTCTGTGATATCAAATCACAATTCAGTTGAATCACATGACCCCGTGTAACCCAAACCTGAATGTGATGTTAGATCACTTGAAAAGGAAGCAACCAGAAGTCACATGATAATTGGATCACAGAGAAATAATGTGATTCAACATCAGATGTCCAAATGCTTTGTGTTGCCACATGCTGCCATGCTATGCAAAAATGTTGCCGGTGACACATGTAATGCTCATCACCCACTGAATCAATGATTGACCCCAGCTCAAACGGACCTGTCCATTCCCTTAACGGTCAAATGTATCTCTGAAATGAGTCCAGGTCTCAACCGCTCTGTCATGTGACCCCTGGATTGGTCAGCTACATACTACTAGGGCTGTGACCCGGACCTGAGTGTGACGGGGCCACCTCAATACTTTGCCCGGCCTTGGGTTAACCCAAGTCCCTCTCAGCAACCCTGGCCATCCAGGGCACACCAGGGTGGAGGTGCAGGGCATTTCTGAAGTTCAATAAGGGTTTGATTCCATCAAAATAAGATCTATCAACTGTGCATCTTGATTATTGTGAGCAACTGGTGTTGTGAGATATGTTTGGCAGAAAAAGAGTAGGCGCCCGACCCGTCTGCAGGGCCAAGGACCGCTACTCGGTCATCCGATTAGCCGGAGAGGTTGAGGCCCTCCGCGCCTATGTGTGCAACTAGACTTGGGATTGGCATGCACTCACTCGTGCCTCGTACGGGTACCAGCCATGAAAGAGTGTCAACCTTTCAAGTTAAAAAATGCGAAGGAAGAATTGGTTTTAGGATTTGACTTCTTCAACATTGTTCAACTTGCAGAATAATTGATATTGAGATAAATTTCTTACAAAAGCTTTACAACATAGAGGATATATACAGATGTGATCAGAAGAAAGCGTATAAATCAAAAACGAGATGATAGGAAGGTAGAAAATTGAGAATAACTAATAACTCGTAGAAAGAATCTAGATTAAGAATTTATAATTTTTTTTTTGAAGAATTGACTTTAAGTTGATATCTTCTTATCATGGAATATCTTGTTCGAATGAAATCATATAATAGAAGTAACGATATGAAATGTTAAGCATTGAGGAATTTTCATTTGAATCTTTTTGGATGATCAGATGGTTTCATAGTTTTTTTAATTTGAGGTAGTTTCAGAGGATCTTCTTGATCTTCATTAGAAGTACCATCATCATCATCATACTATTTTTGAAAACAAAAACATGAAAGTCAAGTCTAATATATCCAAAA